CGAAGTCTTTAGCAAGCGCTTCAAGATCCCAGATGACGTGAGCCTTGCAAGACTGTCGCATGTCACCATGGATGAGTGAGCCAAAAGATGCAAACCTCCAGAGATTTCGGCAGTCTGCAGGAAACACGGGAAACAGGGGAAACGTGGGAGACAAACACAGTCATTGACAGCTTCGATCTCAGCGGAGGTGGCCGGCGCCACTCTGATGGCGCTTGGGTGCAATGGACCGGAGCTGGCTTTGAACACGACACCTGGCAAGTTACACCATGTTGCACCATTGACAGCAGTCAACCAATGGAAGAATGTGGTGCATCGATCCAGATGGTCAACTTGAATCACAACTCCTTTGTGTATCGTGTACCGTTTCCTCCCTTGAGTGAGTTTTTTTCATGTAAAGAGTCAAGATGCGTGGTGGGAGATTCTCTTTGTTCCATTTTAAGAAGTGTGAACGTCGTGGATGCCACCAAAGTCTGCGGAATGACAACATCAATGACCTTTTGAAGCTGCGTGTGGCAAGGATTGCAATTTTCCAGCCCTCCAATATCGGCGTAGGTGACATGGCGGTTACTGGCAGTTGACAAGCAGTCATTTAAAGTACCCTTTCCTTCTCATGAATGGAACATTGTGCTCTCTATTTTAGTAGAATGATTGATCGATTTGTCACTGTGACTACATTATCTACATTGTGTGTAGCTTTTGTGTCAAAATAGATGCATAATTAGTCCCTCAGTTTTCAGATGTTTCTACGATTTGGACATGCTACTTCGGCATTTGACCATGACAGTTTTGCACCGGTGCTCAGTTGTGAGCACTTGAGTGCTGGACAGCTGAGGTGCTGTCATTGGAGGAGAAGTGTTCAACGTCTTGGTCATCATTGGGACCGCTAGCCGCTAGCCAACCTCAGAGGGTGGTCAAGATGATTTTGTATAGAAAGGATTAGAAAGGTCAACGGCCATTGCGGACTTGCTGGTGATGCATACGTTGCTCGTTCTTTTGTGGTGGATTGTCCCATTCAGCCTTGTGTGCGGATTCCCAAAGATAAGTTCATGGTTTCTTCAACGGAACATGCTCTTCACCAACCTGAGTTGTGAGTCCATACATGCACCCGTCAAAGTCATGGCATTGGGACAGGGAATCTGAATGGCTTCAACCCTTGTCTGCTGGTAGGACTGCACTGCTGGCGACTCCTGAGGACATAGATTTCACTTCCAAGAGGTATCATGGGGTCTTCATTCGGTTGTATATATTGTATGACATCTTCAAATATCTTTACATGGCATCCATCACTATCCATCACTATCCCATGATCCCATGATATCCCACTTTCCTTTTGAGTCGTATTGCATGAGGGAAGCTCTAAAAAAACTTTGCAGCAATTAGGTGACACAGCGGTGACACAGTTTTTTCCAAAAAACAAGGCTCAGAATTGATGTTTCCAGCCACTGATTTGAGGAGTACATGCCACTGCATGTCGGTCAATACTCCTTCTGGCGTGCCCAGACTGCAAGCCTAGCTAATCATGGTATATCATAGTCAATTCTCGGCACATACCAGCATTTTTCCTCAAACAAAATATGGGAATGCTTTCTCTACCCAGATTGTCATCTCTTGCCATCTCTTGTCACATCCCCAACTGAGGTGATGTGATTTTCTATGTGATCTCCGTCATGTTGCTGTACCACGCGCTACACGACGGGCGGATTGACGGTTGGAATGTGATGTGGCTGCTCTCGGGTGCCGTAGCGCCGGGCTCAGTGGTGCACAATCCCAAGTAATTTTGCGCCATTCCATTTTCAGGATATAAAAAAGACATGCGATGAAATACATATAATTAGAATCATATCATTATCATATTATTAATTAAATTTATTCAGCAGTTTCCAGCCCAAACAGGAGAGCTTCCATGACATGCGCTCTTGGCAAAGAAATGATTCAGGTCTACACCCTGACGGTCGTTTACTCTGGCCGCTTCCGGAAGTTCTTCCGACGGAAGCACCGCGAATATGCCCAACACAAGCGGATGAGGTCAAGCCAGTCTGAGAGTGTCTTGGCTCCAATGTTGTGGAGAAGTCGGAGAAGTCGGAGAAGGGTTGGAAATTCTGTTGGAAATTCTGATGGAGGCATTTACCTCCATATGGATCCATATGGATCCATCTTGTTGGACGGCCGAGAAGTTTCGAAGTTTCTCCATTTTGTCTTTGTCAGAGATTGCAATCCACTCGTGTGAAAGCCATAAGTTTATACATGGCCATCCTGCCTCCGGGAATTTCCGGTTTTGCAAGAGCTCTTCTCACAAAAGGGTTCGACTTCTCAGAGGTCAGAACCAAGCAGCATGACGCTTGAAAGTCATTCCATCCAGAGCCTCAGTGACCATTTCAGCAAGGAACTATCTCAGGAGCATCTTGAGGATGGTAATTCCTTTACAGGCAATGACTACTACCGCTAGCCCTTTTTATTCCTTTCCCATTCCACCAAAGAATCCTTTGATTCCTCAAGGTTCAGCGTGTACACGTTTAACCTTTGCAGGTGGTGTGTACTCCTTGATGTCCGAGTGTCTGGCAGCTTAGATCAGATCCTGAACGTGATTGAAATGCAGCATTCTATTAGAAGTATTTAGAAATATTTAGAAATTAGAAAGTAGAAATGATTGGAACTCACATTGGAACACATTGGGTCTTAATTTCTGCCAATTGATGCCCTCAGTGACGCCATGACCTGATGAGGTTCCGACTCTCCGGTGCCAGTGCCGTGCCGGATGTCGCCCATGCTGAATCCAAAGACCAACGAGCCGGACCCGCGAAAAGTGGGGATCCAAGAGGATCTCAGATATGGTGGACAAAGAATCACAGTCACCATATCCTGATGGGTTTCATGTCATGAAATGTCATGAATATTGATGAATCAGGTTCTCTATTGGAACAAAGCCACACATAGTGCTGATCCTTTCTGTCGCTTGGCAGATATGGGCTTGTCAAACTGGGCTTTTCAAACAGATCTGTGTGTGCAAAGAGCTTCCATGACGCTGATCACTGATCCTCAAATTTCAACTGTTTTTTTGTGTTGTGGCACTTCTGCAGAAGACGAGAAGTGAAGGCAAAACCTCTAGCACTCTAGCTTTGTATCTGTTTTGCTTGGGATTTTAGGTGGAACCGTGCTTCAGATCCGTGTCGAGATGCGAAATCGTCTCATGGATCGCGCTGCGCGATTCGATGCACGTTCCTCTGCAGGGAAGTGATGGATAGCATCGTCATGGTCATACTGGGTCTTTCTGATCCTTTCTATGGATACTCCCTAGGTCCTTGGGTGTCAGCTTTGCAATGGTTGCACTATCTTGCCCTCTCAACAATCGCAATCATGTGACCTTGAAGGCAGTTCTGCTTTCAAAGAAGAAACAATGCTGCACCTGGAATGTGAAAATAGAAATGCTTGTAGCTATTGTACCTGCTGCATTCGATCAGTTTCCTTCTTGAAACGGCATCAAGTGCTGCCAAAGGCTACGTTGTCCTTTTGGACAGTGCCCTTGTGGTGAGCGCGCTGGTTGATCCAAGGACGACTGAGCAGTGTTGGTCCGGCTGGAAGTCGCTAACAACGATGGTCGATGGTGGTTGCATTTCCTTTTTTTTTCCGCCCATCAAACACAAACCATAAAGTTCTTGTTCATGCCTCCTGTTTCATTGACAGAATCAGGTGCAGAATGTTATTTTGTGAATAACAAAGAAATTGAATAGTGGAAGGATCTTTCAGCATTCTCCTTTTTACATTCTTTTTACATTTTTTACTCACTGTTTTCCTGAAGATCTGGAATTAGATCTGGAATGCATCTTTTCGTGCACCAAAAACGTGCACCCAGATTGCCTTACCAGGACCTTTGGCCAAGACTTGAGTCGCTGTGCTTCCGGCATGGTCTACGAGAAAGATCAGAAAGCGGACGCAGAGACGGGATGGCACCACGGTGGTTTGGTCCCTTGGATCGGTTGGATCGGTTGGATCATGGTGTGATGAACGGTGATCCCAGACTCAGTGTGGCCTTGTATTATGAGCTAATTATATCTAATTATGTCAGTTTTTGATGGTGATATATTATGATTGATATATTAAATTATGATAATTAATATATGATAACTATATATGATATGTATATGTTTACTGTATACATATATAATTATTTAGAATCGACTATGCAAACCAAATGACCAAAATGACGCCAACTTCTGAGCCAACTGAGGTGAACAAACCCCGGACTTTTCCACCTAGCCGTGGTGACTCCCCCGCGCCTCCACGCAGAATCTGCTCAGCAACTTGGAAATGGATATGATGATACCATGATGATACCATGCAAACACGACTGCTTTTGGTATCTGTTGGTTGTTGTTCATCGTTGTTGCATGTTTCCACTCTCTGACTGTTTCTTTGCCTTCAGCCCCATGTGACTTGACTAAATGGTTCTATCTGTGTTGTTCTACTGCCAACCAGAAAGCAGGGTTGTTCCGAAGTCTGTCACAATCTCTTTGCCAACATGCTGGCTTCTTTAGTCTTGCGTGGGCATCAACATTTACTGAGATCAATGTATGCTCGTACTACATGGAATTGCACACAAATTGCTTCCGCAACTTCAAACACATTAGGCAAGCAGAGCCTCATGCCTTCAATGTTCCGTGCGAGCCCATGGGAAGTCATCCCACTAGAGGCTCAGCGGGGTTCTGCATGGCAGCGGGGCATCGAAAGTCAATGGGGTTTGCTTGGGTGTCTGGTATTGTCTGGTTGGAGACGTAGAATTCCCATTTTACAAGATCCACAAGACGACTGGTCAGATTCAAGTGGTTGGCTCAGACCATTCATTCTGGCAGGTGTGACATCTGAGTTTTAACCGCACATTGTGGCAGTGTGGCAATTGAACTGCGTAAGACTGTTTTTAGAAAGTATAATTATGATTAATTATGTATAATTGAACTGCGTAAGACTTATAATTTGTTCTTCCTTATCTCAAATACTGACATGGACGGGAAGATTCTAAGATTGTCTTGGACCGATCAGGTGATCAGATTGGATGGTTTGTTGATCAGCCATCTCTCACACTTCTCACAGTCCATATATTTCGCTGGGACCTGTCAGGACATTATTTGGATGGATCGACCAGTGGATCGGAAACGTGGCCAGATGGCAAACAAGCACAGCATCACCTGTGGCCAGAAGCTGGGTCATGTACTTTGTTTTGCTGGGTCATTACATTACATTTATCACATTTATCAGGAAATATCACACATTTCCATCAGAATTTTCACAGAAGATGAAGATGATGAAGGACATCTTGAATCTATTAGAGTCCTTTGCGATTGGCTCCAACTTGTCCCCAGAGCCCAACTGGGCAGATTTCCATAGATTTCCTATGTCATGCAGGTGTCATGCAGGTTTCCCGAATTTTCCCAACACCGAGCTTCGTGGCTTCGCTATGCTTCGCTGAGGCTTCAATCTGCACGTGCACATGCACAACTCAGAACTGGCGCAGCTGATCCCTGTGGCGACCTTGGAGTTCATTGCTAGCACCGAGGCTGGCCGGGTGAAGTATGAGGAAATGATAGGATCTGATGGGAAATGGCTTGAGGCAATGGCACAATGTGGCACAATCTTTGGTGAATCATGAAGATATTCAACTTCCTAAATATTGCAGTTGTTGATATGGAAGATAGTGATTTGCTGGACAATGTAAAAATTGTTAAAGCGACAGTGCCCTGTTGGAATGAACACTATATATATATATATGCAATATGTACTACAATATATATATAATATAATATAATATAATATAATATAATAAATGGGCTAACGCCCTGGTGCCGCCGACCCCCCCATTAAGGGGGGCGCGAGGCAGGGGTTGGCGGAGATTCACACACATATAGATATATATACCTAGACTCACCGTGGGCTCTTTATTTTTGCTAACAGAGGGCTATGTGCAGGCAAACGGCAGGCTGCAACGACAGAGGGCTATGCAGGCAGACGGCAGGCTGCAACGCTGGAACAGCAAAGGCTTACAGCAGGGCTTGGTGGAAGCTGCCGCGAGGGACTCGGAGCATTTTAGGGGTTTGAAGGGTTTTAAGGGTTTTAAGCGTTTGAAGGCTGGCAAACGGCAGGCTGGAAGGTGCCGCGAGGGTTTCGGAGCATTTTAAGGGTTTTAAGGGTTTTAAAGGTTTGAAGGCTGGCAAACGGCAGGCTGCAACGCTGTTTTAAGGGTTTTTAAGGGTTTAGGAGTTTGAAGGCTGGCAAACGGCAGGCTTGAACGCCCTAACAACAGAGGGCTATGTGCAGGCAAACGGCAGGCTGCAACGACAGAGGGCTATGCAGGCAGACGGCAGGCTGCAACGCTGGAACAGCAAAGGCTTACAGCAGGGCTTGGTGGAAGCTGCCGCGAGGGATTCGGAGCATTTTAAGGGTTTTAAGGGTTTTAAGGGTTTTAAGCGTTTGAAGGCTGGCAAACGGCAGGCTTGAATGCCCTAACAACAGAGGGGCATGCGCAGGCAAACAGCAGGCTGCAGGCTATGCAGGCAAACGGCAGGCTGCAACGCTGGAAGAGCAAAGGCTTACAGCAGGGCTTGGTGGAAGGTGCCGCGAGGGTTTGGAGAGTTTTAAGGGTTTTAAGGGTTTGAAGGCTGGCAAACGGCAGGCTGCAACGCTGTTTTAAGGGTTTTTAAGGGTTTAGGAGTTTGAAGGCTGGCAAACGGCAGGCTTGAACGCCCTAACAACAGAGGGCTATGTGCAGGCAAACGGCAGGCTGCAACGACAGAGGGCTATGCAGGCAGACGGCAGGCTGCAACGCTGGAACAGCAAAGGCTTTCAGCAGGGCTTGGTGGAAGCTGCCGCGAGGGATTCGGAGCATTTTAAGGGTTTTAAGGGTTTGAAGGCTGGCAAAGGGCAGGCTTGAACGCCCTAACAACAGAGGGCTATGTGCAGGCAAACGGCAGGCTGCAACGACAGAGGGCTATGCAGGCAAACGGCCGGCTGCAACGCTGGAACAGCAAAGGCTTACAGCAGGGCTTGGTGGAAGCTGCCGCGAGGGATTCGGAGCACTTTCAAGGTTTTAAGGGTTTTAAGCGTTTGAAGGCTGGCAAACGGCAGGCTTGAACGCCCTAACAACAGAGGGCTATGTGCAGGCAAACAGCAGGCTGCAGGCTATGCAGGCAAACGGCAGGCTGCAACGCTGTTTTAAGGGTTTTTAAGGGTTTAGGAGTTTGAAGGCTGGCAAGCGGCAGGCTTGAACGCCCTAACAACAGAGGGCTATGTGCAGGCAAACGGCAGGCTGCAACGACAGAGGGCTATGCAGGCAGACGGCAGTCTGCAACGCCAGAGCAGCAAAGGCTTACAGAAGGGCTTGGTGGAAGCTGCCGCGAGGGATTCGGAGCATTTTAAGGGTTTTAAGGGTTTTAAGCGTTTGAAGGCTGGCAAACGGCAGGCTTGAACGCCCTGACAACAGAGGACATTTTAAGGGTTTTAAGGGCTTTAAGCGTTTGAAGGCTGGCAAACGGCAGGCTTGAACGCCCCAACAACAGAGGGGCATGTGCAGGCAAACAGCAGGCTGCAGGCTATGCAGGCAAACGGCAGGCTGCAACGCTGGAACAGCAAAGGCTTACAGCAGGGCTTGGTGGAAGGAGCATTTTAGGGGTTTTAAGGGTTTTAAGGGTTTGAAGGCTGGCAAAGGGCAGGCTTGGACATGTTTGTACTCTATGTCTTCAGAGTCATCACACCCTCCAATTACTGTAGGCTTTGTATTCTTGCCAGGGTTTCGGTACGAAATGACGGGTAATTTCTATTGCTCCGCGCGTTTCACAACGCCGTTGTTAAATCATCCAGAGGGCCGGACAAATTAGGTCTCAGATTTTCTCGGATTCTTGCATGGCACTTGCCAGTGATATTGAGATAGAGGGATTTCTTAGATGCATTTGTTGGTCCAACGATGCCCAAGTCTCTGCTGTGCCATGTTCGGCCCAGCTCTGTGGGAAATTGTGACTGGTTGTGTTTGCAATGCGTGCAGAGAATCCCCAAGTCCTGGCCATGATTTTGTTTGCCGCACAATTCAGAACCATTCTAATTCCCAGGTCCCAAAGGGATAGGGGGAAGCGAATGTGTCTATTTACTTCCAGTGAACCTGCTGGAAAACTGTGTCACTGGAATATCTTTCCTCAAGGGAAGGTAGTTTTTGCAGTCTGACTGCCGTCTCCAATCGTTGGAAGCTTGTGGTGAATGGTATGTCAAGCATTTCCCATATCCCAAGATGCCCCAAATCACCACTGAAGAGCTGTGGTGTCTGGTGGGAAGATTAGTTTGGAGTGAGCAAAAAGGCATTGGGCAGGCGCCTGTTTGCTGCGTCATGCAACGAGACAAATCCTTCGTGACTTGTTGATGCTGTCAACTCGTAACACAGGACATCGTGGAGTCCTGGGCTGAAGCGCTGAAGGAGTACTTTGATCTATTGCTTGTAATCATTTGCCAATCTCCAGAAATCAATGCTTCCAGAAGGAGAGCTATCCAGTTTCTGTTCCAAACTCTCCGTGAAAATTCCGTGAAATGAACTTGTATGAACTTGTTAATTATTGCTTCATTATTGGTTTGTTATTGGTTTGTTGATGTTTGTTGACATTTGGCGAACATTGGTGATGATCTCCGCAGAGGACGGCCTGCTGCGTCACAGAAGCCAAGCTGCTCTGGGACCCCCACAGACGACTGCAAAGAGCGTGCTGCTCGCGTGGATGGAGTGGTTACTGAAGCTGCAAACATGGCTCGTCAAGCAATGATATCAATATATATATATATTGATTGATTGTCAAGGAGAGCAGCAGTTGAACATCTGCTTACATATGCTTGTATCAATCTTATATCACAATGTGAACCAAGAGCAACGCCTATAACAGTCTATAACATCTGTAATCCACCCAGTGGTATCCCTTACAACACAGTTCAGGTCTCATCGTTGAAAACTACATCTGGTCAGCTAAGGTTCCAATTTCCTATCAAGTCCTTCACAGCGCTGACGATTCCTGATGTCAGTATGGAAGATGCTGAGCATCTTTACCCCTGGGCATTCGCAACGCGGACTCAAACGCCCTGATGTTGGCTATTTTAGTGTTGGCTGATCAACTGCCTGTACCAAACCTGGACCTGTTGATTGTGTGTCTATTTTATTGTATTTTCACAAGAGGCCGGTACGTTGGACAAGCACTTTTCAATATTCAGTTGGTCTGCTGGGATTCTGAATGGAGAGGTGGCAAGACCCCAAGACCCGGCTGAGTTTTGTTAGGTCATGAGCATGGCGTGGCTGGCGCTCTTTGCCTATCTTGTCGTGGCGGCCTGCAATGGAATTCATAAGGCCAGCGGATTTTAGATTTTAGTGGCGCTACCGCACCGATGTCGTTTCGTACAGTCTTGTCACAAACAGTGGAGAGGCATGCAACTTCAAATTGACAGCCCCATGACAGCCCCATTTGGTGTCATTCAGTGCTAGAATCGTGGACTGCCAGCAATTCACATCAGGACTTCCGGATTTCCACATCCGTCTTGGGCTACACTGTGGCAGCAGCGGGGACTTCGTTTCCCAACGTTTTCAGCGGGATGTGTGTTGCCAGGCACACCACTTGACTTCGTCGCGCGCTAGATTGTGCCAGCAGAATAATCTTTGAACTCATGCATCCAGTCAAAAAGATTCAAAAAGTACAATCTAGTCTTATGCAGAAAGCTGCGAGGATTTCGATATTTGTCACCTGAAGAGTCCTGAAAGCCTTGCAGTGCCATCAGTCCCATCTAATCTGGTGGTAGGCAAGGGAAGACCACTATGGCTGTGGCAAATGCCCTGGGAGCCAACGCGTGGAACCCAGTGCAGATTATTTCTCCTGCGTTTCTGGACGAGACCCTCTTGGCAAATAACAACCGAAGGGTTGATGGATGTTGATGGATTTGATGCTCTCGACCCAACGGCCCCCACTTTCTTCCCGTCTGAACTAGACTCTTGAACTAGACAGCAACGTGGGCGATTCTAGAACTCAATCATCACTCATCTCTGTCATTCTTTTTGTTGAGTGTGAGATGTGAGACAGCAACAACAGACGGTGAGCGATGCTGAGCTTCATCTCATTTCGTGATCGGTCACCTTTCTGTTTCTTCTATTTTCTTCTTATTTCTTACATGTTCTTACTATTTCTTCTTCTCATGGTGTGTCAGTGCCAGGTGCAAAATGTCTTCCTTGCGTTGGCCATTCCTTGGGCCATCCAATGCACCATCAACAGGCTCTGCCACTTAGTCCATGCTGAACTTTCCAAAGTAGAGTCAAAACAAGGAGCAAAGGTGCCAGACATGATCAGACATGACATGTTCATAAATGTTGTAAGATGTTGCGAGTCATGGTGAGTCTCGGTTCCAAGTCAATTCCAGCTGGACTAATTACGATGGTAAAACGTGACTTGGTTCGAAGGTCGCTGGCGGACCTGTCACGTGCTGTCAGGGGAAGCTTCGAGCTGCCATTCACGGGCTTGTTGAGCGCCGTTGTGGAGATCTATGCCTGGACCCCAAAAGATTCGATCATGGCTCGGCCCATTTGCAGGTACCAAGCGACACCAAACATGTCCAGAGGATAGGATACTGATGCGCTCGCGCCTTGTTAATCATTGACTTTCAATGACTTTCACAACCATTTCAGAAAACTCATGAGTTCAGCCAAGTCCCAAGGTCACGCTTCTTCCAGTGGTTGTGGTCTTCACACTATCCAACCATCAGTTCCCGAGATGGTCGGGATATATGTTCCTGGTGATCCTTGACGGCAGCCATTGCTGAAAATCCTTGAGCAGTCTTGGAGTGTGTCAAACTGCATCATATGCCAGAGGCAAACGTTCACCATATTCAGGGCATTTTGATTATGTCTTCACTGAATACATTTTGCATGCATATATATACATATCATATTTATAATATCGACGCTGTACAGACACAGACGTATTCTGCCCACAATCACAGGCGCTACAGTAGTGTTGCTTCACTTAGTTCCCCCCGAACAATCCAAAACATACAATATACCAGTGTTTCAGCTCGTGAGTGCCGCCTTTGCTTTTCTCACAGCTTAGGATTTATGCCTGCTACTTGGCCGTGGCACTAACTCAAGACACCTTTCATTGCCCATCTTGGCCCTTTTTCTGTTCAGTGGCCCTGGCATGTTTGATGCGGGGCTGGAAACCTGGAATCATTTTGCGGTCAATAGGCACCACAGATTGGTGTGGTATCGCAGATCTTGGAAGGCCACTCCTCAATGACAGATATGACAGTGGGGACTTCCTGATCTGATGCCAACAGCGGCAGTTTTAGGTACAGATCACGAGGGTCAGGAGTTACGTTTGAAACCCTGTCAACTACCTTAGCCGGACAAACCATGTCCAGTGCTCGACATGGCCAATGCAACCAAAAGGGGCGAAGCTGCGCTTGCTCTTTAAGAGGTCCAAAGATGTTTGGGCCGCGGACGGCTGAAGTCTTGGGCTTGCAATGGAGATGTGACAGTGCGATTGCCTCTTACTCCCGTGACTGTTATGATATGACATAACACGAGCTTACATGAGATTATATATATATATATATTGGGATATATTGGGACATTTTGAAAAGAAAACAATTTTGGTTCGGCTGGGCAGCGCGAAGCCCAAAGTTGTTTTCCCCTTGTGTACGTCTTGAAACTAGTTATGAGCATTTTATAGGTTGCAGAAGATTCTAGACGGGGACATGATACAGGGAATGCACAGTCTCTTGGGGGAAGGTTGCCTCTTCACGGAAATCTAACTTTGCCGATCTATCTTGATCTTGGTTTTGTTGCCGCGGAAAGGGTCCTGGGTCGTCTCAAACTACTCCAAATTGTTCCAAAGTGTTGGAAACACAAGTCTTTTCACGGTGGATTCTTCATCTTGTCTGCTTCTTCCTCTGATCTTATAGTCGTCCATAGTCGTCCATAGTCGTCCATAGTCGTCCATAGTCGTCCATAGTCGTCCATAGTCGTCCTGATTTTTTGACCGTAACCGTTGTGGTGCAATACTTTGGCTGATTCCAGCGCTTCCGATGTCTTGGAGCTGCGGTGGCATGCCTAGAGAAAGGGTTGGAAAAAGCTTCTGTCAAGATGAAAGATACTGGAAGTTGCAGAAGAGATAGAAAAGACAACCTTTTGAAGATGCTGTAAATTATTAAATTTTGATGAGATGATTGTGCGCATCTCATAGAATACAGAATACCATGTAACTAGACAAAATGCACCACAACAACCACACATGCATCTCTCCTGACAGAGAATGTAGACGGAGAACCTTCAGATGATTTGAGGACTCAGTTTCCTTTGGGCCCTGCTGTTTGACACTTTCCTATACTTTCCTGACAGCTAAAGAGTTGCCTTAGGAGCTGCCTTAGGGCCTTAGGATTTGGAATCAAAGCACGTTTTCTCTTCGTTTCTGTCGGAGTCCATCTGGTCCGCCGAGGTCATGGTGACTGAAGAAGCACCAGGAGGATCCGCTTGCCTGCAACATTCGAAACATTCGAAACATTCGAAATTTTTCGCAACATTCGCAATCCTCGAAAGATCTTGAAAGATCTTGAAAGGAGACCAAAGTCGGCGCCGATATGCGGTGGGTGTTGCTCGGACAAATGCGTTTTCTTGTTTTTCGAAGAATCTTGGGTGACGATGAGATGTACAATTATAGATGTATTACATGAGATGCTCATTTCCACACCAAGCTGTACTTGTCGTGATTTGAGGGATTTTGAGGGAGATGGTGTACACATCTCGCACCCTCAAAGAATCGGAAAGATCTGAGGTGAGTTTCATCAGTTTTCTTGGTTTGCTGCTTGCGTATCTTGCCGTCTTCTTCAGGCCATGTCACGAAACGGGTTGGACGCGTCAGTCTTTTTTGGTTTCAAAGAACTCTTCACTCATTGGACAACTCCACTGGTCTTCAAGATTTCATTGCTCATATTGCTCACTGGAGAATATTTGTTGCTGATTGACTGATTGCATGCAATTCTACGAGCCAGCAGGTTGTTGCTAAAACGCACATCGATTAAGCAGCTACTTATTCGATATTTCAGCAACATTTCAGCGGCTTCAAAGCAAGCGTTGAGATACAGTGTCTTCTCACACAAAGGTGCCAATCTTGCTGGAAAGCAAATTGACCAGCGCAAGAGACCGTAGCATGCCTGGAGATGGGTAGATAATCTATCGCGAGCATAATTCTCGCATCCATGGTTCCTGGTTAGAACCAATACTGCCATGCAGTCCTGGGTGCTTGAAGTGTCCTAAAGATAGAAGCCACGCCACATGGCCACATGGTATAAAAATCAAATTATTTATGGCTTATCGATAAACCTCGAGACATGAGATGTTCATCAACCTCAGCATTGTAGTAGCACCTCACAAACACCTGATATGCCGGGCAGGTCAGAGCCAGAACCTGTGCGGCGCCCCAGAATGATGATCAATGTCTTGGAGGAAATATCCTCTGTTTCTTGAAACGATTAAGAACAGTATCTAGACTAAGGATGACTAAGGGTGCTTGTACATGATGCCGTTGTCGCTGTAGTCTTGGGCAACATCCGCATCATCACTGCACATTTTTTTCCTCTGAGGAGTACACCTATGCCTCCTTCAAGCGACATGAGGAGGGACCCCTACCAGAGGCACCTGGGCTCTAAACAACTTTGGAATGGACCTGCGACGACTCGAAGCTACTGGTATGATGCTGGTATGCACTGTGACAACGCTATGAAACATCCTTGCCCCTGCCTGAACTTAGTCTTAGGCTTGGCAAACATACTGGTACTGCCGAGGTATACACTTTATCAACATCCTGCACCTTTTTGCTTCCTAGGTCTTCCTAGTGCTTCAAAGATTCTTCTGCTTGCTTGCCCTATTCAGACTAGCTTGAGTAGCTTGGGTAACGAAACACATGAAACACATTCGATCGCATCTCCCAGAGTCAAAGTCCCGGAGTTTGGCCAATCTCCAGAGGTGCCCAAGGAGATCTGGGACGAAGCCCGTTCACAGCTCCGTGTGCGCCTTCGAGAGATAGAGGATGATGGGAAAGAGATTGGTTCAAAACCATCAAAACCTCCAAGGATTTCTATGATTTCTGGGTGATTGGGACCAAACAACTACTATTTCTTGGCATTTCTAGGCATTTCTGGGTCAATGGGAAATATTGGGACTGGCACACGAGGAGCATCGAGAACGAGCTGCGGAGCGCAGACGGTTAGAGAAGGAAGAGAAGGAGAACGAGGAGGAGAAGGAGGCAGCAGTCATCTCTAACCTGTTAATAAATGGCTAACAGAATCCAATAGAATCCAACAGATGTTGGGGGATATAGCATGATATAGCTCTGTTCAATTGAATCACTGCAAGAGAGCACATAGCACGGTGGCTGCTAAAAAAAGAGAAATCTCCCTTGACTGAGAAAGCCCTTGAAGATTCTTCCGCAGTGTTGGTCCCACGGCGGCAGAATGCACCCGTTGGGCAGATGGAACGGCGACTGTGGGCTGAAGCAGTGGAAGAAGTTGAGGCAGAACCACGAGCGTGCAACTCAGGTTGAGTGCCAGTCTCCTATTCAAAAGCATGGCTTTCCTGATGTTTACATTTCAAAGTTCCGGATTTGACAAAGGCTCAAAATTGGTTTTGTCAAAAAATGCTACTTCATTTCTGCGCAGTCAGACAGCATGCTGCAAGCCACAGCTCATGGATTCGTAGTTCTCTAGGACCTTCCCGGAGGTTTGCCACAGAATATCACAGAATGGCGTTGCAGTGTTGATTTTCAGGCTTAACTTGGGGACAAGACCAGAAGACCTGTTAAGACCTGAAGCAATAACTGCCATCCTGCAAGGAACTCTTCAATCTCTTCAAACTGTTGAATAGCAATGCAGCCCTTGCCTTAAAACCAGGGAAAGCGGGACGCAAGTCATGGCTGTCTTTGCATTGCAAGACTACTTTGAGACCTTGAGCACTCCAACTGCAAGTTTGTTTTTGGAAGGGTCTACTGCAACAAGGGGGCACCGTATGTTTAGCCTTCTTACTAACAGAACGACATAGCTTCGAATACGGATATACAGCTGAATTTCCAAGTAGGATGATGAAATACACACTGCACAGACTGTAGTCTGCATCTACAAGGCGTAGGTAGATGTCCACTTCCTGTATTCCTGCATTGTTTTCAGGGTACCGAAAGTGAGGCGAGGGGACCTGAGCAGGGTATTGTGGTCAATGATGGTCAATGCAAACTCTCGAGTGGAGACAATCCCAAAGTAGGACAGCCTTAGGACAGCTTTTCAGATTTTTCAGTATTTTTCAGTCAATGTCATTAGGGATTCAACATGGAATCAGTGCAGCCCAGTGCAGCCAGCTCTTGAGGGCAATTGTCAAGCCGAAGTAGTTTGAAGCTAGGCTTTCTAGCTTTCTACGAAGACATAGATAGACTCTTAGACACATGCCAAACTATATCAAAACTTGCTCCAGGAACAACAGATGGCCGAACAAGAAGCACATGCATTGCAGGCTGGAAATCTTGCGTGGGACAAGGTGTACAAATTTGTACAAGTGTTTGTCATCCTGATAGTATAGAAAGGAAATCCATGCTATACACACCACACAAAGGAAGGACTGATGCTGGCGACATTGCGATTTTTGGACAATTTTGGACAATGGCGAAAGTAATGAGTCTTTCTTCAGTGGAACGACTCATAGCTATGGATTTCTATGGTATGCTGGTATTCCTTTGCCTCTATCCCGCCAGGAACATCATGAGACTCACAAGAATGAAGACGGCAAGCCCGATCCGGACTCTTTGCTGGGCAAGCTCATGAAGGCAGGCAGTTTCGATCAGTTTCGTCTAGAGAAGCTGAGCCCTTTGTCCTGGTTGGTGCACGTTGCCAGAACAACGTGGACAAAGGGGCTGGAAAGGCACGCCTTGGGCTGGTGGCTAGGGCCATGACTTTTCCTAGGCCTGCCATTGAGGGAAGAAACATGAAGAAACATGAAGAAACATGAAGAAACATGAAGAAACATGAAGAAACCATATGCGCTTCATGATGGCGGTCCCAATGTCACAGACTGTCACGGACTGTCACAGACTGTCCAGATTCAGTTGCCAAGTAGAGAAGAAGTGTAGAGAAATGGAGTCTCCCCCAGGTGAGGACGCATAGGACGCTATCTTTAAACAAACACACTTTTTTCGAGCTCTGAGATGTGTGCAGTAGGAGTCGCTATCTTCCTGATTTTTTAGTTTAAACATGTTTAGAACAACTTTTGTGTCGGACATTTTCAAACACTAAAGCTGCTTCAAGCCATTGGCGTTCCCAAGGGTGTTCCCACTGGTCGACTGTGCCAAGGTGAATCCGAACCAAGACCGTCCTGATGAGCAGTTCGACGAAGACACCGAGGTCTGTGCAGGTTCCACAAGCTTCTCAAAGGAATCCCTAGGAAAAAAATGGGAAAATGCATGCACAAAGATGTACAAAGCTTCTTTGTTGTATTACTGTATGTTGTTGTGCTTGAGTTACTACATATATCTACATATTCTCTCATGGATTTCTTGACCCATAACTTCTATGATTTATATATATAAATCCAGAAATCCAGATACCAAATCTTGATGAATCCAGAATCTTTAAATTTATCAAACATGATCAAACCTTCCGTTGGATTCGAGGCCAAAAAAGTGGCCATGTCAGAGCTTCTCAAAAAGGCGACCATTGCTGTGCGGAGTCACTGGAGTTGGTGCTGCACGCTGTTGGGAGTCTGAAAGATGTTGCTTTGCAAACGGAAAAAATGCCAGGGTGGACATGGCAATGGCGAGGCGAAGCTGCCCGAGACGCTTTCAAGATCTTTCAAGAATCCAGACCTTATCATTCTTATCTCATGCACGGAGCTTTTTGTGTCAAGAATCTTTTGATGTATTGTTATCTATTGATATGCATTGACAATAGATATTTACAGCTTGGCAGTAGTGTGTGATAGTGTGTGTGTGTTTCAATTCTCTTTGGTATGTCTTATGTCTTTTTCCTTGCACCTTTCTGTTCTTGGTGTAGGACCTCAAGCAGCAATTCGAGGACCAAAACATGCCTGGTGTTCAGCTTGATGAGAAAAACCCTATCGGATTTCCTTCTTGTGCAGGATATTTGGTTGACACGTGTGACAGATTTTTCGTTAAACATGGATAAACCAGATGGGCATTGATGCGTTGTTGCTTTATGTTTGCAAGTCAATTCATTGGATGAGCTGCAACGCTGGTGCTGATGGTCTCAAGGAGCTGCAAGCACAAGCAAAAAAGAAGGCGAATCAAGCCAAAAAGGTGCCGATTCGTCGCATGCTCTGGTGCTGCTTTTGTTGCACCAGAGACTATGACGGTAAGACTCTGGTCTTGTTTCCAAAGGGGTGAAGAGACCTTGATCTGTATTATCACAGCTTTGGCATCATCCTTTATTATCTTGTTTTCCTGCTGTTTGTGAATCTGAATGCCTGGTCCTATGCAATGATATCATTGGCGTCAAATCAATCGGCATCTTCCTTCAGTGACGTGATCAAGCGAAGAAAAGTAACTTTGTGTTTGGCAATGAAAGTTTGGGAAGGAGAGGGTAGTGAGAGTCAACGTTTGTTTTCCCTGTGTTCCCAGTATTCTGCTTCTTTCATCTTCGTTCAGTTGCAATTCTTACTCCTCGTGTCTCTTGCAGTTTGTCTGAATCCTTACGCTTTGGGATGATTTGGCTTTTTAATGGACATTTTGAACTGCGTTTGAAACTGGGTTTGTTGCCAATTGCGTGCTCACAAACCAGATTCCTTGAGTGCAGAAGGCCGCAGCGAAGCCAATATTTATCGGTGTTTCTGATACCATCATTGATGTGGAATGCCCCGTATCACTTCGTATCGGTCGCGGCTGAGATTCCAGCGACCGAGAAAAGGCACTCTACCTACAATGAAATCAAGATCAGAGAGAGTGGAAACATATTATAGAAAAGCAAACCACAGAACAAGGGGGAAGAAAACCAAAATCATCCAAAATCTGTCTTTGCAAAGATAAAGTCGCGATACACACAAGGGAACACCCCAAATAGGAAAGCATTGGATACCACTGCGCGAATTATGTTAAAGACAAACGCATTGAAACAGGTTACCCGGTTACCCGGTTACCCTTCTTACTTGTTTGTTTTCACCTCACTGGTTGGGCAAGCTTTACCAGCATGAATGCAAACATTGAAGGAACGAAAGAATTCATGACCTGCTTGCAAACCATTGTAATGTTTCCAACAAACATGGGCATGGGGAAGGTCGACTGTCATCGTATCTGCGTCCTCAGCTGCTTCATGTCCTCCCATGGGTAGACTGATAAGTTGGACAGAAGAGGAAAATTGAAAACTGAGGAAACATTGATTGTTTGCGTCATAGTTCATGATTCATAATGTCTTAGCAAGGCTTGTGAAGAAAAACATATAAAAACATGTTAAGCATTTGTACGGGTCACGCAGCAACAGCAACCGATGGCCCTCTCATAAAGCACAAATTAACACAGGGATAAGCAGCACAAAAGATTCCCCGCAAATCCTTAGGAAAACATTAACAGCAAGGAACGAAGCTCAACATCAAATCAGAATATGCAACATGCAAACATGCATTCCAAAGAACCACCTGTTATGGCATTTTGTTATACCATTTTTCGCCCATGGCAGGTGTTTGAAGAGAAGCTGGCCGCAGAGAAGAAGAAATTAGCTGAGAAGCAGAAGGCAGTTCCATGATCTCTCAGTATGATCTCAGTATGCTTTATGCGGTTTATATGCGGTTTGGTCGGGGTCAGTGCATCTTTCATCAGTGGATGAACAAGTGCCTTCCAGGCAGCGAAGGAACGCTTGGAGCATGAGCTGAAGTCAAAGACGCTTGGACTGAAGGATTTCTTGATGTTCTTGGCTACGGTGGACTGAAGTTCAGGAAGACTCTGACTCATGTATCTCATGTCCCGCTAGCAAGTCTTCAAAAAACATTCACTTGATGTTTTCGTGAGACTGTTACGCATTTGGGTCCCTGCTCATTGGTTGGGTTCTTTACAACAGAAAGAGCTTGGTGCTTCGCCTCGGAATGATTGGGATCGTGCACGCGAGTGAGTTTGAGGGTTTGGGCTTCCTTTTTGCTCAGCAACTGAGGCAACTTAAGGACCAGATTCTGATCATGAAGGCAGCCCTTTTTAGTGGTGCTGGTGTTGGTGCTGTGGTTTGGCGAGATGCCTCACGCCGTAGACGCCGTATCCAGTTGATGCCCATTGTACATTGATTATCATTGATTCATTTCAACAACTTGGCAAGGTGTGGTCAACTAGGATTGGATGGCTGACTGGCGATAAGATTCAAACAGAACCACCATTGAACAGGCAGCAACAGCCAAAAGTTTTCTCAACCACTCTTGATCTGTACTCGTTTCAAGCAATTGCATCAATTGCTAAAGAAAGCGGCGACACTCTCTGTTCTTCCAAAGTATCAGGAACAGCAAGAGGAGGCGCGTGTCCAGGAAGATTCCATCCAGATGGGGTAGCTCAGCTGAAAACTTTGCGAGTTGCGATTGAATGTGTTTTCAAAATAATGGGACCAAGCGTGCAAGGGAGATTCAAGGACCCAAGGCCCCAAGGCCTTGCGCCAGGGAGGCACACCGAGATACCCGGTACACCGAGGATCAGTTTGTACTGCTGGGCCTTGATGATGCCCTTTGGTTACGAGGCAGGCCTTCTCCTAGAGCAAAAGAGACAAGGCGCCTGCCGCGGCTGCTGGGCCGATGCAGAGAAGTGATTGGAGAGATTTTGGGAGATTTCTTGATCTTTTTGTTGCAAAAAAAAGTTCCAAAGATGTTCAAGCAATCATAGCAACGTCAAAGATTTGATAGGCAGGATGTGAATTGAAAAGCAAGAGAACCATGCAGTGGATGAGCCTGCAAAAGATTCATGTTGAGAGTTTTCTCAGCAGGTGTTGGCATCTTTGAATGCGACGAGCTGGGAGCTCAGCACGGAACATGACCACGGGCCATGAGCGGCACAAGGGGCGTGGATTTAAACGCGGTGCTTTTCCCAAGGCATATTGACTTCGCACACTTTAATTAATGTGATTGACTTGTTGATCTTGTTTCCCTCTTGTCTCCCTCTTGTAAAGCAGTGAGTGGTTTGCGGGCGTGCAAGAATCTTCATCGGGAGATGCACAGTCGGGTGGAATTTATGTATGACCACAGCATTCTCAACTCTGAACCTCATTTTGTACCGACTACAGTCTGTACTTGAACCTTCCTGCAGGGCAAGCAAGGGGCGAATAGCTTCAGAGAAATATCAGAGAAATATCTGTAAAGCTGTCACAAAAACACAATGCGATGAGTCTAATACAGTCATCTAGTCATGGAAAGAACCGGATTGTTACTACACAAGCTGTCACAAAACCCCCCTGAACCCCTTGTTACTACACATCGCTGGCCAAAACATTGTGACAGCTTTTGCGATAAACAAGGGGTTCTGTAAAACTGTCGCTAAACCCTATCACAAATCACCACAAATCTAGTCATGGACTGGAGCTGGAGATTCTATGCTCCTGGGCAAGCAAGGTGGGCTGTCTACAGCAACCAATCCATGATGGCAGATGGAAGTCCTTTTCCGTTCCCTGTGCATGAGGCGAGCCGATGTCGATCCGTCAGATGATTTTGGATTTGGTTTGATGATTGATGTTCTACCAACAAATCTGAAGCAGAGACTAGTCATGTTGACAGCGCAGCCTGAAAAAAAAAACTGAAAAAGCAGTGGAACAGCCGAGTGCGTCTGCGTCAGGTCACAGGCCCCAATGGGGAACCGATCTCCCTCTTTGTGCCACTGGGTGGGCGATGGCACACTGCCTTGAACCGTCCCTCGGTGTGAAAGAGACAGGTCCAGGTCCCTACACGAGTCATCACAGAGCAACCGGTAGGAAGGTCATGGATATGGAAGGATATGGAAGGATATGGAAGGTCATTAAGCAGAACTTTTTCATTGAAGTTAGAGAGGACATCGAGGACCACAGTGAGGCGACACGACACGAAAAGTTGCATCTTGCACCGCAGGAGATGTGTTCAACCAGGTGTGGTTGAAGGTGCACCTCTTCATAGATACCAGCTCAGCTGCAGATGAGTCATGGCAGAAAGTTATTGGTAGAACCAGTTCGAAGAGACAGTCAGAAAGCAGAATTGGAAATGCGTTGTAATTTGAAGATGCAGTAAGAGCAGTAGTTTTCAATACAGCATTGCTTGGACACGACACTCCATCTTTTTGATCTTTTTGGATTTGAATGGGCAGGAAAGATTGTTTTCTGGAAGTAGAAATGAGCAGAATATAAATGAAAGATAATGAAAGTGGAGATCTTTCTGACATCGACACTGTTCATCAAGTGTGTCCCCGGAATCTGTCGATATCTAGTCTTCCCGGCGAATCTCATGGACAGGTGGTTGAAGTGGATCACTACAGAAAACACGACTGGGCCGGAACCTGACCTTCTCATGCTGTGGTGCTGGGATTCCATGGGATTCCTGTTGATTGAGCTGATCCAAGAATGATAAGAATGTCGCTGACATCCCTGACCGAGATTGTCAAAGTCGATCCTGACTCGGTATTCTTCCCAAGTTGGGCTCTGAGCAAACTTTGCGAAGGATCTTTGCCTTGATGAATTTTCTTGTGGCAAGGTTCCCTTAGGTTCCCTTCCAGCTGTTGGACTTCCATCCTCATTGACCAACAATCGGTGCTGTTGACCAACAATCCATTACTCTAAGTAGCAAATCCAATAGTTGTACTGCGCTGTGATGACACCAAGTAAGCGGTTGTAGCTCTGGTATTGTGGAAGTTCGCGTCGCTCTAATCTGTTGCCCAGAACGTCTGAAGCAAGTCATTGGAAGACGCGTGCCGTTTCTTGGCTGAAGTGACTCAATTCAGGCTTTTGAGATTTCATGTAGATGTTCCTGGTTTGTTCACAGCTGATCTGGTGATGATGATTGAGTTGCCTTACACCAAAGTTGAGTGATTGATGCTATGACTGACACCAATAAAGTCACACCATGGATTTTGATCAAAGCGGAACTGGGTTTCCGCATGTATTTCCGCTCAGGTTAAAGAACGTCAAAATGCAAGGTCCAGAACCAGATGAGGCGCAGGGAAACCACATCAATGGCAGTGTTTTGGGTGGGTCATGTCATGCTGTCATGATACTCCGTGTCCAATTGTGACCAAAATACATCAAAGTACTACCTCTCGGCACTAAGATACTAAAGGGTTCACGTAGATTTGAATGAGATGTTGTCCAGATGGGTCTCGAGATGGTACGTCTTCAAAGGCAAGAATGACTTGACAGAGGCAGTAGATGATTCAGACAATCACAGATACATAATACATTATAATACATACTGTATCATACAGTCATACCATGTCATACCCATATAAAATGGCAGTGGAATGAGGGAGGGTTGAAGCATGTTGTAGCCCGAGCCTGCTCCGTGTTCAGTTGGACTGCACATATTGCAAGTGTGGAGCCCCAAACTCTGCATTTCAGCATCAATTGTTCTGAGTCGAGGGGTCCTTCAGTTTGAAAAAGGGCACTCGCTCGTTCCCAAAGTCAAGTGCCAGATCTACTGATCAATAGACCTGACTCTTCAGCTTCATTTTTAATTTTTAATGATAGGTTCAAGGTGCCACTAGTGGTTCTAACACGTCGTAGCCTGGTGTGTCTGTTTTCCTTCACACCGTTGATGCAAAAGTCCAGCCGCCTCAAGGAAGAAAGGCTTCACCAAACAGAGCTGCGCGTCTCATGTGCACTGGCTACAATCCCAAGGCTGACTTCTCTGACTTTTGAACTTGGGATTCTGATGGCTTTTGAATGTGTCGGACACATTTGACATGAAGATTTGGCATGCTTTGGTTCCACACATGTTGATGCTCATTGTGATGCTTGGCCAGGGCATACCTGCAGGGACGCACTGACGTCGGTTGCGAGGCACAGTTGCAACGCGTCAACATGTCTGCTGGAGCAACTCATGTCCTGTGAATTTTGTGGTTGCACGTGAGGTTGCTTTGTGTCATTCGACTTGTAGTTCAGTGTTTCAGTTACCATTTGGGTGACTGAGTTCTGCTTTACCTATTCAGAAATTCAGGTTGATGCCCAAAAAGACTCTGTGGGCCACATAGAGTTTTCAGACGATTCTTAAAATATCTTAAAATACTTCCCTGATCTTCTGCGTATGTCCACTACATCAACGGACAAAATCGTTCTCTTGGTCTTGGAGCCGCTGTTCCAACCCATTGCAGGGACCCTCCAGTGGATTGCGGTTGTGCAAATCTAAGATCTATCAGATTCTATCAGTGTCCATGCCAAGAGAGTTGGAAGAGGTCCCATGTCATCTCATGTCATCTCCGCACTCTGAGGCAAGTGCAACGATTTCGCTTGTGATTTGCCAGCAGATCAGGTGAACCGCCAGTGCTGTCGGACTGCGGAAGAAAGCCGAAACCATGGCCTGTTGTTGTGACCACATGTGACCACAATTCCCGCAGCTTCATTGTAGTCCAAATATGTCCAAATTCAAATGGCACACGTCGGCACTTGACTGAGAATGGGTAGATTATATATATATATGATCCATATCAATATATTGTATTATATGATTTTTGCTACATATTACGTGTCCTTGAATTTGCTCGTTGATGTCAGTGAAAACCAACATCTGCTAAATGGCAAGGTTTGTCGTTGCTGAATTGCGTTTGTGAAAGGGTCCACCAACAAGTTTGCCTACTTTCCAAATTCAAGCCAGTGGACAAGAAGCAGAAATACATACCATGCTGCTCCATGCGGCGAATGTTATAAAGAGGTATAAAGGGAACACATGCTGCTGGATTTGCCACCATAGTTCCTGCCCTCATGGCGGCTGCAGCATGTGCAGCATGGCTCTTGGTTGCCGGCCTATTGGCCTCGGCAATGTCCATAGCGGTGCTGGACTGTGGCCCAGTGCGGGTCCATCAGTGTTGTGGCGCATTGAGATAATCTCACTTCAGATCACTTCAGGAGAGGTTGAAGGAACCAAATCCCTGTGGAAAAACATGAAAAAACTCTGTACCTGACTGTACCAAATTAATCCAAATTATATCTCTACCGATATCCACCTCATGATTAACGATTCAGCTTGCATGTGCTGAGCGTGTTCGCTTCAGTCGTAGAGTCGGCTGTGCAGCAGAGGCTCCAGCTTGGACCGATGAGCAACTACCAGTTGCTAGTCGCAAGGAGCAACTTTAGCCGTCTTTGAGATGTCTTATGCTCTGGTTTTCTCAACTTTAACCTTCAAACCAGCCAACGCTTGAACTCTTTTAGCAAGGTATGTACTGGACAATGGCAAAGTTGCCGTTACCGTGGATGCAGCTTGGGATATTCCCAAGATTCGCCGATACGTGGAGAAGAAAGAGTTGAGGCCGGCACTCTCAGCACTCCCACTCCACCATGCCAGCTTTGAACTCTTTTGCTATCTTTTGCTCCTTTATGAATCACTTGTTTGTCTTGTAAGGTTCAAGAAAATGACGATTCGAATGATTCGCACTTCTTTGCATCTCATTAGTCCGTGCTGCAGCTTTCTCCTCCAGGGGGGTGAACAGATGATATCCGTTGCATTGCAGGTTGGTCGCAGGTCTATACACCCATGGCCATTTTGACCATGTTGGAGGCAAGTTCCCAGGAGCTCGGGTGCTTTATTTTCCAATCTTTGTGAGGACTGTGACAAAGTTACAAACATGTCTAAAGGCCGAACAAAAGACAAACCTCTAAGGACAGACATTGACATGTCAGAGATATTTGTGTCAAAATATACAACTAAGGTGTCAGGTCAGCTTTATAGACTCTATAGTTTCCATGCAACTTGCCATGTTCGCAGCTGCCGTCGAACTTTTCCTTGAAGGATCAAGTGAGGGACCTGTACAGGGTGCGCTTGAGCTTCAGGAGTCAAGTCCTGGGGGACACAAGATGCACGAATACCACACTAGCAGCTGAATATCAGCTGCATATGAGGGGCTTTTATTTGGTGAAGTGAGGAGTAGTCTTGGGGCGTACCCTGGTTTGTCGAAAATACTATTATTTTGGTTGCAAAACGAGGTAGGACAATTTCGAGAACGAGGTACTCCGAGGTAGGGATTGCCTGCAAAGCATCTTATAGCTATCAAAAACAAGTGCGGCGTTGGAGAACGAGGTCAGGCCCCCCAAAACGGTATTGGAATGGAGAACGAGATAGGAACACTACGTGATGTACCAAATACTTTCCGTGGCTCATCTAGCTTCATGCTGAGTCTTTATAAATCACATCATTGATATTTGCCAATTTGCAAACATCACTTGAAGACTTGACTCGGAGGAGACGAGTTGACAGAACCACGTTGGCGATTCTGCCACATTTGGGTTGATGTCAGTATAGGATGTTTTGATATATGATGCTTAGTACCTACTTGTACGGGTTCTTTTGAGACTTCCCAAGATGCCAACGCTTTCATTCGTTTGAGAAACGACAGCCCTTGCCACGTCCGCCGCATCCAGGATTTGCCCTTGTACCTGGGAGTCAGAGATATTGAGGCAGCAGAGCTTCAGACACAGGTGGCGGCATCGAAATGGCATCCTCTGAAGGAAGGAATCCCGGATGCTGGCTGAAACAGCCTTGATTGGTCAGCTGAAACATGCTGAAACTTTCATTAGCAGAAAGCACTGACAATAGCTGTTTGATGCTGTTTGACTTTGCTGACCGATCCGAGTTCGACATCTTCGACCGCCCGAAATGTTTCTGACACAGTGCAGGAGACAAAGTTCAGCTCCTTGGTGACGATGTTCAGATTTGGGTGCCGCTTGGCTGCACTGTCGAGATCTGTCCATATGACTCTTTTCAGACTTTCGAGACTTCTCAAGCTTCGCAGCTACGTTTTGTGCTGAGCCAAGGATAGACACTCCTGGTCATACCTTAGGCTAGGGCTGAACAAACATCTTAGTGTATTCTATTGTCATGCAAACGTAGACATTGCGTTGATTTTGTTCAGTCATATTGCACCGAAGGCGGCGTGACATTTTGGGTTGAGGGAAATTTCCATGAAGCTTGTGGTGAAGGCCTAGTGGCGCAAAACTGAACGGTGCAGAGTCTGTAGAATCATGTAGAATCATTAGAATCTTCAATTTCTTGTTGGCTGTATAAGTTTCTTGCTATTGATTTACCATTGATTTACCCTTGTCATGTCCAATTCTTTGTCGCTCTTGTTGACAGGCTTGATGTTCACGGGTGACACTCTATTCCTAAAGAACGTAGGACGTACCGACTTACCAGGAGCCTTGGCTTTACCAAGAATGTTTGGACCCTTAGATATTGCTGAAAAGATTGATTCTGCACAATTCTGTCAACGGATCCACAATTGAACTCGGAGAAATCCTAGACAATCTGCCTGAGTTAGCAGTGTCCCACGCCCAACTCATGTCTTCAACTTTGTGATTTGAATATGTGTCAAAGCTGCTTTCACCTGATTTTACATCTTATATAATTCAAATTCAGGTTTGAGAAGCCATCAACTATGAAGCCTTAAGGCCTTATTGATTGTTAGCCTAATCGATCGTTTCTGGGGACAGCAGATCTGGTGCTGAGTGCTGAGGTGGTGATCCCACTTCCTTGCAACGCAGCCTTGCTCGATTGAGTGGCGCTGTGGATGGGGCGCAAATTCTGCCGGGGCATAGCTACATGGCGCAAGTGCTGCAATACTGTATATATGCTGTATGCTGCAATTGCAAATGCCAGGGATACACTTTCAGTTAGTGATGCCGTGATGCCCAAGAACGTGCTAAGTTCCATGATAGATCAGCGTGGCAAATGGCTTTCCTGTGCCAAGGCTACGATTCACCTCCCAAGCGGGCAGATTTAGCCACAGTGCGACGGACAAATTCAGCCATGAAAGCTGCCATGGCCAGGTGGGGTCTTGGATAATTTGCCAGGAGAGCGCCAAAAACGTCACATGATTTCCTCGAGGCTTTTGTTAGGCCCAAAAGATCCTAAAAGGATCTAAAAGGATCTAAAAGGCTTAAAAGTTGAACATCACATTGCCATAGCAGTCATTGCAGTCTGATGTCCCCAGGTTTCCATCGCCGCCACCATTGCCTTGGTCGCGCTCCAAAGTGGAGTTGTAAGCGCCAGAAAACGTGCTTCCGAGAAATGGAGGGCATGTGGAGGGCATGAAAGGATGCATGTTTTTATAATCAATTATAATCAAATATAATCAAGAATTGAATCTGGTTGAATGATGTTGAATGATGTTGAATGATGTTGAATGTTCATTGCTTCTTGCTTTCACCTCATATTTGGATGAGAAGTTGCCACAACCTTTCCTTTGAACCTTTGCCATCGGAGCTTTTAGTCAGCCAGTTCATTCAAGGTTGCAAGTCCAAGTAGTGAACCATGAGCAACTGCGGACTAAAGAAGGGCTGAGGTGGGTGCTTCCTGTGTTTGCAGAACCGATGTGTGCAGCTATCTCTACCCACAGAATCCCACAGATCACCTTGTCAGCTCATGATCAGTTGATTGGCTAGTGCTGGATGATATTCGAATATATTAGACTACCCGCACATCGACCTGAACCCACATGACATGAGCGGCCGCTTGGCATTTTTGTGCCAACCCCTGATCTTGAAAAAGTGAGGTAAAGTATGGCAAAGTTTAAAGTAGGTAGAAATTGAAGACGTAGAGAAGATAAACAGTGAGTGCAGCGTTGGAAAACGAGGTCCTTGATCGAAACACATAAGGAATGAACATGAGATAACATGAGGTACTGTATGGATCTGTATGGGACATCGCCTTTTGCAGTAACACTGTAGTCACTTCCGTGACATTCCGTGACTACTTCGATGGATTCTCCTGAAGCCCACGGATGTGAGCGCTGTATCATTGTGCCAGGCCTGGGGTGATCGGGGTGATCTGCCCAGCATCGAAGCTGTCCACTGTGCGCAGCATTGAAAAGCCGGCAGGCAATGGCTGCACCAACGCAAGAGAAAGCAACTGGTATGGTCGTGCGCAAGAGGAACTCAAAAAGACTCCTGGTCTGAAATTTAACTTACGATTCATGATAATTGAATTGTTTAAAATGAAGCATTTGCTTTCATTCTAATTTTCAGCAAGTCTTGCGTCCAACCCATGAATATATTGAACTTCAATCAACGGCCCATGGGGAGGTGGCACAGGTGGCACAGGTCCTCAAGTTGTTCTGGCAAGGAGTGGCCTCTTCAAGGAAGTGATCCTTGAGAATATGCCAGACCCGCACGTTGCGAGTGAGAGTGTCTGGCTTCCGTTTCTGCGCAAGTTCTTCGGTGGCACAAAAAGCACGAGATTCTACGAAAAGACTTCGAGAGATTTCTCTTTTGGCGTTTGACTGCCAACCCAAAACACTTGAAATCGGTCGCATGAAAAGCATGATTTGTTATACGGTAACGACATTTAAATATGTGGAGGGCGGGCCAGACCGTGAGGCCCCGGAGGTAGTATGAAATACCAGTTCGTATATTTAAATGTAGTTACTGTATGCTTAAATGAATTGGATTCCGTATGTTTAAATGGCCGGGCGGGCCAAGGAAAACCTTCCCGGAGGTAGTCTAAAATACCTGTTCGTATATTTAAAAGTCCGTATATTTAAATGTAGTTACTGTACATTTGTCAAGCCATTTGACTAATTTGACAATTTGGATCATATTTTTAAAAGAACCTTTGGCCAATGCATGTTGAGTCTCAGGCTGTTTCTTAGCTGATTTTGCCTAAGTTTGTCGTTTTGTATGTCTCTACATCTCCTTGATGTTGCTGAGGCTTGGGGCCGATGAGAATACAGTCCTCATAGGACCAGAACTGTTCGCATCGATAGGACGTGATAGGACGTCCAGAAACCAAAGCAAACCAGAGCAAACCAAAGCAAATCAAAGCAAAGTAGCTTAAGCTACGATGTCCAGAATTTGGAGGTGCTGTTGATTCCAAAGGCGTCTCTTTTCCAAATGGTGGAATCGGAGCTGCTGGACTGTAGAACACCCTTATTGAAGGCTGACATAAAGAATTGCCCCTGGAACTCAACCATTCTACTGCCAGGCATTCGGACATGTAGCAATTGGACAAAATCGCTACGGTTTCCATCTTGGTATAATTTGGTAACCAGGACATTCGAGCGGGGCAGAAGCGACCATGCGGCTACTGGAGACACAAAAGCTTCGAGGGGCAGCACCATAGTTGCAAGATGTCTCAAGTGCATTTCTGCTCTCATCAAAACTGAGGCGATGGATGAATGAATGTCCTTCAGCATATTCACGTCGCTTCGCGACGGCAACCGCCCGCACCGCATCGTTGGGCTCACACAGCAGAGATATATCTATATATATAAAGATCATATATGTACATATCGAGTGAACGGTCCACACTGTTAATGATGTCAGCCATTGTTCTCTTCTACTGCCATTGTTCTCTTCTATTGCCGTCGCTCCGCGACAAGAACCCCTGTGCGGCCGCCACGGTTTGAACGATGTTGTTCTCACACCTTCGCGACCGCTCGTAACTGCCAATGATGTCGGCCATTGAGACCAAAAACATCCGAAAGTACTGATTGTCGGAAAAAAAACGCGAAGAATTTGATAGCCATGTATAGCGGACCAACGCAGTTCAAAAAATAACGAAAAACATGAAAAAACGGCGAAATTGCTCTTATTGTGTTTTTGGCGGTGAGAAGCAGAAACCACTGCAAATACCATGGTTTTTGAGGGTCAGGTGGCCAAAAAAAGAAAATTTACAGTTTTTTTCCCCAATTCAAAAAACTTGGTAGGGGTTCCACCCCCCCCCACCGTAACATAAAACAATAATTTACGAGGTTGCCTGACGTTTGAAGCTAGCCGTCCTGTCCAGAAAACAGAAAAACACTGTAAAAACCAGTGTTTCTGCTATCACAAAACGACGAAAATCAGTCCGAAAACGGGTCCAAAAACTCAAAAATCCGCCTCCGGGCCAGGCCACCTGCGGAACCGCAAAAAAAGATGTTGCAAACCAAAAAATTGAGGTCAAAAAGTTGAAAAACACGGGGTTTTTTCACTTTTCGCTTGCCGATTTTGGCGGGCGCGTTCACGAACAGGTGTCTTCCGTACTGTTTTTTACAGTGTTTTTTGAAGGCGAGCGTCACGACCTATCAAAAACAGGAGGTTTTGGCCGAATAATGGGCCCCCCCCCCGGGTAAACCTGTAACCTTTTACGAGTGCCATCCGGACGATCACGCCCCAGCACCTTCGGTGCGGGCGGATTTTAAGCCTTGCCATAGGCACAACATGCTCAAGTAATGCCTCTTACATTTGCTTACTTGACTTGTACGTAGTCTTCAACTGTGCTTCTGGGGGCTGTCCGTCAGATGCATTGGACAGGTAGTTGCTTTTCAGGACACGCAAATTTTGGGCACTGAAAACGCATGCCTACCAGTGGACACATCAGCCCTGCAATGACCGGCTTCAGCTAGACAAGACATGCAATGGGGCCAGAAGTCATCGGGAATTTATCCGTGCCTGGTATTCCAGTTTCGCCGAGGTATTGGTTTCTGCTTGTCATACTGACTTAGGCGATGCTACTTGGCCAGCTGAGCTTATCTCGGGTTGGTTGAGGGTGACCGCAGTCGGTGTATGCTAGTGAAGCAAAAGGTTGAACACTTGGACTTGAACTTGAACACATCATTTTTATATATTTTTTTATGATTTTTAAATGTATGTTTGGTGCATGTCACCAACTTAGCATTAATATTCTTTACTGTCTTAAATTTCTATTTTCTTTCCCTCCAGTCCACTTGCCAGAATTTCAACGCTAAAACTATGATGTACATGGAACATCATGGAACCATGGATCTCATTGGTGGGCAAAGTCTCCTGCACTGCTGTTTTTTGTGCCTATGTTAGCATATGCAGACACCAATGATTTTGTATGATTTTGTATTGTTCGTTCGTTGTGATGTGTCTTGGAGTTGTTGGTTGTTGGATGTTTGTTTCAGTGTTTCCATATTGAATTCCAATAGAAGAGAGCTCAGTTGGATGAAGGTGCTGTGAGATGCATTCGGTGAGGTTTGCTGCAAGCTTCTAGGTGCTGATGAATCAATCTTCTCATTCAGATATTATTCAGATATATTCATATATATATATATATTCATATTATGTATGAATTGAATGAATACTGCAGCACTGCTAATGTTTTGTTCTCTCCCGGTTTATCGTGATCCGCAGCAGTGCTGCACTGAAATCTGGCAGATCTTAGGAGAACGAGAAGGCATCGGGATACTACAATCGACCCTGGGAGCCTGGGCAGATCTGGGCAGCTTCAGAGGCTGACAATGTCATGTTTGTCATGTTTAAGTGATGACCCTTGATGACCCTCGCGGCATGTTTTTCTGTCTGCAAGGAATGGTCAAGGATTTCCGACAATGCAGGTTCGCTTGTTGTTGCAATCGGGTACGATGTCATTCTCTGTTCGGCAATCTTTGCCAATGGTGTGCGGGAGTGATGACTTAAGTGATGTCTTTTCAAGATCAAAGCCAAGAACAGCAATGATAAGTGAAGAGGCCAGAAAAAAACAGCAGAGAGATGCAGGGATTCTATCGGATTCTATCGGATTCTATCGGATTCTCCGAGCTACTTGGAGGTTTTTGGCTGGTCAGCGGCTGGTCTTTTTGAGTCCTGGTCCAGGCTTTCTCCTGCAGTGGCACTCCTTGGACGATCCCTTCATCCCGATCTCCGAGGCCAGACATGTGGCCGAACACCTTGGCGTTGCTTGGCACTGGCAGTTGTGGTGTGTGACTTAAATGACTTGGATATGACTTGGCAACGGCTCAAAAATATGGGCTGGATGGCACTGGTTACTGGTCGAATTACTGGTGGAATTTTTCACCATCCCAAAATGGGGGTCAATGATCTTGACCTATTCCATGCTAGTCCCATTTGCCACTAAGTGCGAGTACATTGAGCACAAGCCTCTTGGTTTTGGAGGTTTGGGCGTCATGAGGGCTTCGTGGGAGTCTGAATATGGGAAGCGTATGGCATGGTCCATTCCTTTGCTACTGGCTGACGTCCAAACAAATTGTAGCACAAGATAGAGGCAGATCGTATCTGTTGAGATGGCAGTCGAATTTACGCCACGCCAAGGCTGGGGGAATTGCCTCCATGGGAATTGATTGGTTTTCAATCTTGGATTCTTCCAAAGTATATAGAGAATCTATGAGAATCTGGGACAGGCTTGGTGCTTCTGAGGAAATCATCGCATTTCTTCACGTGGGATGTCTTTGGTGAAGAACTGATTGAAAGATTGAATGCGAGACTTGGCATATTTGGCGTCACTGGGAATGGCGGACACCGGGAGTGGTTAAATTATGCTACTCAGCCCACAGCACAAATAGATCGATCGACGCGCAAATTCGAATCATCACGCTTCATGTCGATGTCAAAAGCGTTCTTGTTTGTGTGACGTGACAGATGGATCGTCCACGTAACTCTTGTGAATAGATGAACGAGCGGTGGTCACTTCAGCATGCAAAGCGTCATGGTCAGATGATGTGAGAGGATTAAGCACTTCATTAGACTTCAGACCTTCAGGAAGTTGGAATCAGAAAAGGAAGTTGGAGGCCATGTCCTGAGATGATTATAGAGCTGTGGAAACCTTCCAGCCGAACATCAGATTGTCAGATTGTACTTTATGATGTTTTATGTATTCATATTTGCCGCCTGATTTTGCTCTTGCAACCCGAGTCTTGGGATTTTCGATTTCGTTCCTACAGCCACTTGACATAAGAGTTGTCTGAGTGCTTTCCAGGTGTGCTGGAGCACGAAGCACCTAAGGCCAAGTCTTTTTGCTCTGCATTTGCTGGAAATCAAAGGGCGATCAACAAATTTAGTCTGGCATTTCTGAGCATGAGAGAGCGAAATGCCATCGTTTTTTGGGGTGAAAGGAGCCGCCAAGACATGCCAGTAACTGCGAGTAGAAGAGCGGAGATCAAGACAAGAAACAAAATTTGTAGCCCTTTGAAACTGACGTTGATTCGGCTCTAACTTGGGCATGCTGTATCCTATTAACTGACCAGTTCCATATAAAAATGCCGGCGCAGCTTTGGAGCCCGTTTTCAGTCTGAATGCTTTTATTCATGACAATGAATCTGAAAGAACATCATGATCATCATGGATAGATCACGATGGATATGGTGAATGACTATTCAATGCAAAGTCCGCGACAAGGAGATGGTTGGGCAATGTGGGTCCCTGTCCCTTGATTCTTGCGCTTGCAGGCACCAGAGGTTTGCCACTGTGACCTGGACGAGGGTCGCGGCAACTGGTGAAAAGAACTGAGCCTTGCCGCCTTGCCGCCTTGCCGTGTAGGATGGTCTATCACAATCCATCACTATCCATCACATATCATCAGATATATATAATTATATAATTGACATGTCATTACATGTCATGCACCTAGAAGTCAGAAGACTCTGACATACGTAAAAACACATGCAATCTCGCGCTGATTTTCCTGATATCCCACGCAGGCTGTTTACATCAACAACTGCCAATGGGGTTTGCATGGTCCAATCGAGGCGAGTCGGTCCTTGGCAGAATGGATCGCTTTTTGGGTGCCAGCATGCTACACTACTGTGTGATGGTCTCAAAATACAGCTGGAATGTGAATCATCATGATGATATATGATTCAATTATGATTCAATTATGATTCAATTATGATTCAATTATGATTCAATTATGATTATTATGATGATTATGAATGTTTATGGTAGAATGAAGCAATGACTATACCTCTTGTCCTGTTTCAAAGAACGTTTCCGGCATCGAGTTGCTCTGGAAGGTCTTCAGCCGCAGATGTATTGCCACCTACATCGCTGGATTGACACAGCCCCAGATGTGGGCTGTAGTCGAACAGATTTTGTGGGTATTTAAGACTTAACTAAGTGGACAAGACCGGTGAGATTTGTTGCTGGCTCTGGTCGCCAGACACCAAATGTCACTGAGGCCAATTTGCTCCAACCTTTTGTATCACGCTTGGGGAGAAGACATCTTTGTTGACCAGTGTATGATCGTTCAGAGCTCAAGTGCAGACAGAGAGGTTCTTTGAGGTCTTGAACGTGATAAGACGAGGAACATGAGGTGCTTGAATTGTTATCTTGGAGAGCCATCGGAAAACTAGCAAGGGATCACCATGCCTCAGACAAGCTTATGAATGGACAATAATGGACATATCATTAACTCACATTAAATCTTTACAATACTCCACAAGAGTCGATGGTCATGAAATACTCTGCCCGGCAGAGTTGCCAGAAACTTCAGAACTGCACTGAGGAACTCGGTCTAACACGGGTCAATGAGTTTGATGTCATGAGTGAGATTGCCGGGATCTGAGAAGAAACAGTCTCTTCACCCTTGTGAGGATCACATTTCTCCCTAGCAGTTTTTAGTTGGCCATAACATTAGCCCCTAAACTGAAGCAATGCGGAGAGTGCGTTTCCCCCTTCCACTCCTTGCAGGCGTGCGGCGATCAACCTGCACCCTGTGGACAAACCGATACCACGTTTCACCCTTTCAAAAACGTCCGCGGCCCATTTTGCCCTGAGCAGACAGGATCATTCTGTCGAAGCACGCAACAGGAGGTGTTGGTTGCAAGACAATGGCTTCAGTTATCATGACCACGACAATGACAAAATATGACAAATATGGTAAGGACTGCTGACAGTGTCCAATGAAATGCTCATAGAATGCCAAAAACTTGTAGTTTTGCCATCTCTTGATGCAAGATGACATAGCCTTCAGGTGGAGAAGTGGTTTGCATGCTGGAGTCCGGGTGCCTGGATCATGGATAATCCAGCCGTATCCAGCCACCGTTGAGCAGCCTGTAGGTTGAAAGACTGCACTTCGTGAAAGTTCATGACAGGATGTACGTTTTTTTTGTCTTCGGAACGTATGGGAACCATTTTGCAGTATACCTGCTGGAAGCTCCAAGATCGCGGTCGCGCCCACAATTTCGAAGCAGTGGAAATACATCTACTTGCGTGTGACTGCCCATTCTGATCCAATGCTTGTGTTCGTTGTGTTTACATGTCCATTGCGCTTAGATTTCGCCAGCAAGTACGGGCACGGCCCAGAGGAGCCGGGGAGGGACACCGCGAAAGGTGAGATTCTGGATCCTTGAAGAATTGCCGGCACGGACATACAGTAGGAGCTGATATTGTTCAGTCCCTGAATAGCCAGGTTGGAGTTGAAAAAGTGTTTACTGCATGGACCTCACAATCTTGATGAAATGCAACAATGATTGCATTTGACAACAAATATATACATCACCGCAGATTTGATTCTGGGAAGACATTTGACCGCAGCAAGTTTTGAACATAACACAAAGTTCAGGTTTATGGCCCCTCAGCTCTCAAAAATCACCAGGACAGGCTGGCATCTATCATCGTAGAGCAGGCCTGGGTTGGAATCACCTGCGATCAAAATCTTTCGAGACTGAAGTTTCGAGGCAGAAATCATGGAGAAGATCAAAAAAGAGGAAGCAGCTGCAAAAAAGATCGATTGATGCGGAAGCTGCAAGGCTGTGGAAATGCTTGGACTGGGCGTTGTTGTATACAGCTCAGTTGAGCCAGGTTAAACAAAGCGATATGTTGCTATTGATCCGAGTTCCTACTCGTGAATCTTGACTGTCCAGTCTGTTTGCTTATTTTTTGGATTCATGAAGCGAAACACTTTGGTTTTCTGTTTTTCTGGCATGATCTGCCCTGCCAGACGCCGCTGCTGCTTATGAGTGAAGAAGTGAACGGTTGGCCTCAGCCAACTGTGGAAAGGTTGCGAGTGAACCTGCTCGCTTCCTTGAAACGGCGAGTTTCATGCTATTTAGACAGTTGGGAATGAACATATTACATATACAACTAGTAGCTGCCAGGCGAATCTTGTCAAGACTCTCTAGTGTCTTTGGAAACACGCCCTGGCGAATCATTCTAGTTTTGCCCTCTTTGACTTTGATATTGTCTTTTTCAACACCCAACTGCTGCATGCCAATTCACACGCTTCAATGGCTTTATGGCGTGATGCTAAATGGCTTCAAAGCGCGCTGGAAGTTGCCACCAGGCTGCGTCAGTAAAAGGCACTTGGATTGGTTTGGAATGTTTGGGGGTTCTGCTGTTTGAAAGCTGCTGGTAAGCATGATCAATGAATGCTCTGTTGGAACTTCGTGGATTTGCAAAGAAGACCTGCCATGCGACTAGTTTTGTAGGAAGACACTTAAATAATCTTATATAATATATTATAATATATTATATCTAGAAAACAACATTAGAAAATTGATTTCATTTTAAGACTTGTTTTTGTTCGCAATTCGAATCTAGGATTCTCTACTGTTGATCAGGATGAACCTGCTAGGTCTGAGTCCTATCATGATATGATTGTGATTACGGCTTGCATTTCAGCCAGAAAGCTTCAGACTAGCTTGACAAAACCTGGATGTTGGGAACGTAACTTGAGCAGTCCAGGTTGTGCAGTGCATTGTTGCATGTGGTTGTTCGATGTTGCTGCGAATCATTAAAGATGCATGAGGCTGAGGAAAACCATTAGGCCCCAAGCGGCTTTCCCTTTTCTCTCAAATAAAATTACCTCATCAGCGGGGAAAATGTGTGTCTTGTGGTGAAGTAGTCGCTTTCTCCACGGGCAACTCCGCCATGCGACCCGAGAAATGGCCCCAACATGCCCGACTCACAGCTTGCGACATCTGAGCTGTGCAGCTTCAATGCCGCCTTCCCAGACGGCCAAGTGTTTGCCGATCCTACAGCTGCGTCCTTTGGCCCAGCATTCTGTGGGCATTGATGCATTATACATCATATGGATTCATATGGGGCGGAATTGAGTTAAGGAAAGGCTGAAAAGGACAAATCACAGAAAATCCACCCCGGCTCATCACAAATTAATTATGGATAGGGACTTCTCTTTTCAAGCAGTGCTTCAAGAAGTCATCACAGACTGAAGGTATCCTTTTTTGTTGCTAGTGACAAACATGGTGCAGCCATGTGCAGCCAAACGCTTTCATCTCGCTCAGCTGCTTAGCTACCAAACAACTTGTCATTACCTTGTGCTGGCAAGAACAGATTTGAAGAAATATGCCACTAATGACTGCCTGTGGCTTCAGTTAAAAAAAAGCAGCCCACCAGGATGAAACCAAAAGCAGTTCAGCCTGGACATGTTTATGATACCAACCGAGCAGAAAGGCATTGTGATTTCTCTGATTTGAACCGTTTGAACCATGTCCATCACAAGCTTTCGAAGCTAAACACAGCAACATGATGCAACATCTTTGTTCGGCTGGACATATGTCACATGTCCCATAAACATCCATAAACACTAAACACCAACGTTGCATTGCAACAGGTAAACGATCGTCCAGTGTTGAGATTTGCAGTGCAAACGGCATGGCCCATGATGCGTGCCTTTGCCATGGCATTTGGCATACCAGTAGCTTGGCGGAGTGTATTGTTGATGATTGAAGCATGGATTTGACAGGGGAAAACCGGTTTTCCCATGCACCCTGATTTTGCAGTCTGACCCCGGTGCATTTGCTGGAATTGAGTTGGAATTGAGTGTGCAGAGATAGATAGCGTGAAGTCCTGAACACCATTAGCTGGTAGACGGGCAACTCTAATGTTCCCACCCAGCTGTGATCGAAGGGCCTGAAAATGCGTCAAACATCCACCAATGGCAGATTCTTGGCATGTTTCCTTCATCCGAGGCACCGGCTATTGGCCAGTGGGCCCCCGCCGTTCCACCATATTTGCTTCGATGTGATCCACTCGCGCCCGGCAAAGAGTTGCCTGGTTGCTATCTGAATCTGTGTAAGCGGGATTTGTAGCTTTACCATGCTCCTTTCCATGAAAATGTAGCAACATGATACAGCGTATATGGTTGAGTTCAGAATACAACTGGCAAGGTTGAAGCATTGACTGTACCGTTTGTGCCGTTTTGTGCATCTGATCAACATCTCATTGATGATATTGATGGAAGCTGCAACGTCTGAGGTTCTACGAAGAATCAGTGCCTCTAAGCATCCCTGCTCCGCGCCTTTGTTCTGGAGCTCGCTTCCTGCCAGTGTCCTTCGCCATCCCAAAGGAGGAGACACCGATTGCGATAGACACCACCTGGTCAAAGCATGTCAAAGCGTGGGACGGCAATAGATTCAAAAGAGGTAGGGCATGACTGATCCAGCTCACGAGCCAACATCAAAATAATATGAATTAATATATATTATATATTATATATCATAATATGAAGCAATTTGCCAATGATATGCAATCCTGGGCTTGCGAGTCGAAAAGCAAGAGGGCGCAATCCATTCAGGATGTGGTGCCATGTGTGCCAGAGAAGTTCACTGATTTTGCTTCGCTGATCCCGGGCGTGGAGGACCGAATGGCGGCCATTTTTCAGCATTGTGAGGATGAGGGAATTAAGAAACCAGAGTTTTTACTTTTTCGTACAGAAAACGACTCATTTCAAAGGCTAGGAGTCGAGAAAGCCAGGAAAATATGAGACAGTCTACGCCTTTCATTCATTGAAACATGTGAAGGTCTTGACGACACTTGCACCTGAATGGTTTCGGTCCTGTGTTCTATCAGCTTTTCTGCTTTGGGCAGAGGAGTCCTACATATTCCCAATGACAGCATATGGAGAGATGGAGTACAAGAGGACAGATGGTCAGAAGATCGCAACTTGAGATGTAGAGAGCTGCAGGATGCAGCCACCTGGGCAGGTTTTATCAGATCAGTGCTAGGGATGCCACGTCATGCAGTACCCAAAAAAACTACTCACATTCCACCTCAGTGATGGAAACAAGAGTTGCATATATAACCCAACTGGTTTTTCTGCAAACGTTCGGAAAGCCTTACAGGCAAAAAACTCATGCAAAAACGATCGCAGGATGTACCGAGAAGCCCGCTTCGCCGTGAAAAAGCGTCGAGCAGGCTGGGCGCAGCATTCTGTGCAATGCCTTTGATGCCTTTTCTCATTCACATCGGATCAGCCTCCCAACTCCCTCTGTAAGCACACAAGCACTGCGTTGCTGTGCCACCATTTGTCGAATGCCACGTCTCACTAGTGCGGGAATGAAGTTCATTCAACCAGTGAGTTCCCAATGGATCTACTACTAGATTCTAGTATGTTGGAGACAGCAGAATTGTATTGCAAAGGAAAAAGATCCCTGTCCAGACTGACAGACGGGTCCCTCCAGTCAGCTGGCACAGCTTGAGGCTGGGAGACGATGCGCATCTACGAGATCCTTGCGGCTGGCTCAGACACTTGGCCCTGAAACATGACGTGAGTTGCAACGGTTCTGGCCCACCCCAAAGGCAAAGCTTGGATAGCCGTGGCATATCAATGGGGTGTCAAAGGGTTCAGTGATGTGTGGCCTTCGGAGGGTGCTCTTTAGCGCTTGAGAAATTGCACCACAAACGCTGCAATGAAGAAACAAAGCAAGAGTAGAGACTGTTCGATTCCCAGGTCAATACAAGAGTGGAAAATGAGGAAATTGCCAGCAGATTGCTACTCCTGAGGTTCCCTACATCCACGCAGCAGACGAAATTCCGGATGCCGCGCTAGTGTTTGTCAACAAGACGTTACTGAGGCTGGATACTTGAAGGAGACAATGCTGGCTAGCAACACAGTACTGACAATACTGATGCATCATAAGTAGCACGTGGATTGTAGCAGCTCAACATGCACAGCTAAATCACGATGCATTTAGCTTTCTGGACGACAGCGATTTCCAGTGTGGTTCAGTGCAGCATGACATCTTGTGTCCAGGGCAGCCCGGCGCTTGGCGACTGAAGGTGGACCAGTTGATCCACTCGACCCAATTTTGGGGAAGCTGGATGGAATAAAGTATGCCACTCTTGCAGCTTCTTGGCTCACAAAAAACTTGGATTGGAATGCATTAATGCATTGGAGGTGTCAAGAGGATTCAAGATGAAGGCTAGGTGAGTGATACCAAACATATCCAAACATCCAAAGAACAAATCCAAAAAGACGTTCCTGAGGCTGAGCTCTTGCGACACACGCAACAACATCTCACCACAGAGGTTGGGAGGGTGCTTATGAAGGTTCCACCATGCATCGGTCGTTGATGTCAATGTCCCAGCATTTTCCATGGTACTTTGGCAGATTGGTGATGATAAATGGAGTGACATTTTTGTGTTTGTCGTGACCTGATGATTGGGAAACCTAACTGCACAAATTGACAGATTGCACAATAAAGAAACCTGTAGCATCTTTGACTTGTGCCTCTTGGCATTCTGCTTCTTGGAAGCAGCTTCTGACGTTTGAGAGACAGTTTGGCTCCAGTGCACTTAGCTCGAACTTTGCAATGGTGCATGGTGTTTCAAACTGCTTCTTCTGCGATGAGAAAGCAGAAGATGGTCATTGCCAGAAGCCGCTACACGCCCTTCGAGTCCATGAAGCATTCGTTGACAGAGAGAAGTTTGATCACATTGTCAGGGAGTGTCGTCCAAGTGAAGCGGAGAGACGCTTGAAAGCCAGGTGCCTGGACAAAATTCAGGCCGCGTTGAGGCCGGTAGGTTTGTACCCGACAGGCAGTGCGGGCAAAGAAACCGCATTGCGCGGGGAACGTGACATTGATGTGGCCATTGTCGTGCCTGATGGACCTACAGACACCTTCCTGGATAATGCCAAAGATGCCTTGCAGCGACATGGCTTCTACAACGTGGCTGTTCAGAAGAGAGCAGATTTTGGCCGAAGACTCATCACTGCAGAATATGAGGATTTGTCCCTCGACATTTTGCCTGTGTGGAACCTTGATGACAGTGGATGGGCGGCAGAAGCGGTCAAGAGTGCCAAGTTCTTTCGTCAGATGCTACCTGCCTGGCAAAAGGATGTGGTCCGTATCCTGAAAGCACTCCTGCGCTTGGAGCTGCCTCACATGCCTGGCATCTTGCTGGAGACCTGTATTTTTGAGGCTGATGTGCCACCAACCCAGGCCATTCGCAACGGCACCTGGGCTGTGCTGGAACGGCTTGGGCAGCTTCAGCCATGTCGTTGCTCTTGCAGTGGGCGTGACCTCATGCAGGATCCTCGCGTGTGGAACACACGCGACAAGTTGCAGGAGTATTGTCTTGAGCTTCTTGCCTTGCGAAAGACCCCGGTGGTGGACCTTGGCCCAGTATGCCAGCAGTCCTTGCCATGTGGCCATTACGTGACAGTCAGGGCTGGTAGGTCCTATTCTGATTCAGTGACATTGAATCACGAAGTAGCCAAATTGATGTTACGCTTGGGGGTGCAGTTTCACGGACCAGCAAGCAAAGAGCATGTGATCGAAGCGAGTCGGCATGATGACGCCTACATCATTGCACACTTCGTGTCCCGGACCGTGCAACTTCGGCAGCTTCGATCACAACTCGAGAACCTGCCGTACAACGGAGAAGTAGAAGCGGAGGAAGCTTATTATGAGAGACACCAAGAAGAGGAAGAAAATGTGCCGCAGACACCTAGTCGACCTAGTCCTATTTTTTTAGCCGTTTTAGCCCACTTAGTCGGCTTTATCTGTATCCTGGTCCTGTATCCTGTTCTCTGCAGTCTCAGCTCCAACAATCGTTCAATCTGACATCCATCGCACAAATGCTTATCTGGTGCTGTACAAATCTGGCTCATGCGAAGCTCAGACTGTGGAAAACGCCAGAACGATGCAGCTGCAAAGTGCAAAGTTTTATGATGGCGTTGAAAAAATCTACATGTTGATGCTATTTGATGCTGGTACTATTGATGTTTATACGTTGCAAATGTCTGGACTTGCAGTCCAGGCACTGGCAAAGCATGTTTTGTCCTCCTTTGGAAAGAGCATTTCCAGTGCCCTGTATGTATCCGGATGCTTCTTGGCTGCAATGTCCGATAGATTGCTGCATAAGTTTGAAGACTGACTACTTATCAAAGATCAGAAACTCTCACACTCGATGAGAACTAGATGCTCCCTTTGGACTTTACTGACTTGACGCAGGACGTACACAATGGTGTCAAGAGTTTGGAAGCACATGCATTTGTTCAGAATATTTCAGAATCACGTCCGAAAGTTTTCACATGATTGCTGGCACACTGCCCTGCTATAACAGCTTGGCTGTCCAATCAATGTTTCCGTCTTCCAGCAACTTACTCTATCGAGGCTTTCACGGGGACTACTTGTGCTATGTGTCTAGCGCTTGGTCCAGCTTCTTGTGACGTAGCAGATCTGCATTTTTGCGCATCTCTCTAAGGGCGCTGGGTGTTGACGTGTTGAGTTTATGTTCATTGTGCAACAGTTGCCAGATGAATGGATGTGTGAGACTCCATACGATATCTTACTGTTTATCAGAATGTGTGTTGCAACTGTATACCAAGTGTGAGCTCCTGGTCGAAACATGTTGGTCAAAGGTCTTTGCACGGCCTTCGCAAAGTACTTGGCTCCAAGCTAGTCGCTTGACATCAACCAGCTTGATGGGCTTGATGTTTCCTATCACCGGACGAGGATCAATCATGATCAATCCACCAGTTTCTTCTGAGGTGGACTACCCCTTTTTGGAGTACATGTATACTCCCAAGAACGTGCCGCCAATGCAACCCATCAGCCGCATTACAACGTGCCCACAGACACAGTGCACAGTCGTGAGCCTTGGCTGTGGCTGTGACAATGTTTGGAAGGGAATTTCTGGTCACTACGGAAGCGACCAGGGGTAATCACTGGGTAATTTTCTGCATCATTACAACGCAGTCACCTGTGGTGCGTTCCTGCATGAACAATGGACAACATATTATTGTACACGAAGTGTACCAGTTTCAACGTTTCCCCGGAGTTTGGACATTGAACTATTTAACTTAGCATTTTATTATTTGGAACCATGGCCTAGGAGCGGTGGCCTTGGCGACAGTGGAAAACCTCGCACCGGAAGACCACGCTTTGCAGCTCGGCTCCACTTGCACGTCAGAAACTAGCGATCGAAGAACATGTGCGCAAAGATTCATAGCATCATATTCTGAACCTGGTCATATTGCCACAACATCGACCTGTACATGGACGGAGTCCGCATTGACATGTCTCTGAAGCAGCCCGCTGAGACGTTTCTGGCTGTTAGATGCTGTTAGGACATCAGCGGTGTGGGTGCCAACGTCCCTGTCTACGGGGGAGGCTTCTCCTATGCATATCGCTTGGAGCATTTGCCTGTGAACCGCTCCAGAGCCGTGCCTTGTCGAAGCTTGAGGATCTTGAGGGTTACCGATGCAGCCTGGCCATTGCGTCCAACCAGCACCAAGGCGATCAACTGGCAGGTCTCAAATCGCAAGCAACTCCGGCTTTAGTTTGAGATAGTTTGAGTGTGGTTGTATTGGGCAGATTCGAAAGGATACATGAAATGACAAGCCCTTGACTGCACTGAGAAGTGGCTGAAAAGTGATTTCCAAAGGTCCATAGACAGCAGCTCATTTTTGAATTGAGTTCCGAATCCGTTTTCTTTTGATTTTCTGCACGACTTTTGCAGCAGGTTTGACGTGGTCATTTTCTCCAATGCCTACGTGGCACTTGGCCAAGGCACTCGTGAGGCAGGAAACCATAGGAAACCTGTACAGTTCGGAGTCAAACCTACAAGGCCAAGATGCATCAAGCATCCATCCAAGTATTGAAGACGACCATGTCATGATTCCACAGTTGATTTCTGTTGGAGGTGCAGCTATTGGTGAAGCATGTGCTCAAGCATTATTCTCCAAAAGAGATCATCATCCTTGTGGCTGCCTCAGATATTTGCCTGCTCCCAACAGGAACAGGTACCGTAGCTATGCCTGCTTGACGTTTGACATTTAAATTAATTTATACAATGGTATGAATGGTGCTGTAATGGCATCTAAGAATGTTTCAACATCACCCAATCCATCCTTCCAGATTCCACGGTTCGCCCACAGGATGGTCGAGATCCAGAGCGGAATGATGAGCTGCCAGAAGGCTGGAAGAACGGGTCCAACAAAAATCATCAGACAGCTAGTGGCAATTCCAAGGCGCTCAATGTATCCAGGAATTTCCAGAAATATTCAGAACATCTTTGAACTTTGAATCCGAAGAATTTCAAGATTGACAATGGACAAATATGACAATATGGTGCATGGCTACTGGCAAGGTGCAGCTGAACTGTCCAAGCAGGGCTTCTTTTACTTTCTGAGAGAACCTCCAAAATGGTGTGCTGAGGCATGAAAAGGCAGCGAGCGCTTACCAACGGTCAAACCAGGGTAACGTGCCACTTCCAAGTAAGGAAAACACGATTTACGACAAAGCTCCTGGTATGCGGGTTATTGCGGGTTGATGAATTGACCATTCTAGAATTCCATGCGCAGCTGAATTGATGCCTGCCGTCGGCTTCTGCTATTAATCGTTGGAGTCCTGAAGTGCTGAGGTGCCGAATACCGGTGATTGCCCTGGCAGCGTATGCGTCGAATGCAGTGTGGGCAGCTGACTCAGAATTTCAAAACGTATGTAGTTTGAAATGTGCTTGAATTTGTAGACAAAGACATCACATCGACATCGGGCAACTTTTGTTGTGAGCAAGTCTAAGAAACGACACCTAGTCTTGCAACTTCCTGAGTGTTCAGAGGATGGGTTTGCCCCATCAGTTTTTGATAGTTTTTGTGTCTACGTACTGCCTCATTTTCGGCTTGACTCCTGCGCAGACCACTGACAGAAGACTTTTCTGACAAGACATGGATAATGCCAATGCAGTAATGCATGATGATGTATGATCATTCCTGGAGAAACCTGTGTCAGAACAGCAATGGAAATGCCATCGGATAACTAGGAAGCAGTTTTTGGAGCTCCTTTGTCCCTACAGAGTAGCTGGGAGGTTGGACACGGCAACGGATTTTTTTTGATCGAAGACCAAGGAAATGTCACCAGCAACGTGCAGCCAACTGGAAAGGCGCAGCCCGGGATCCAAGTTGAATTGATCCTTTGCATTTGGCGCTGTTTTCACAGCGGCCCAAGAACCAATCGTGATTGTATCGGAAGCACATGGAAGAGTAGACACCAAATTCAATGAGCTCCAGCATCAAGCTGATCACGCTTCGGAGGAGAGAAAGAGAATTCATGTCACTATCCTTTAACATTTACTGTAACCTACCCAGACAATCCCAGACAACTGTACAAGCCCAAGCCCTACGACACGTCATGCTCTCGGAAGTCCCCTTTGGATCCAGCTGCTCTGTAAAGGTTCCCTTTCATGATGGTGTTGATACCAGTTGAAGCCTCAAGGTCGGCAGCATTGACACGGTCCAGCAGACAACGGCAGACTGTCTAGAAGCGCCCTGAATTCATCGTTTGTTCACGGTTTTTGCTATGAGTTAGCTTGGTCCGCTCACGTGCTAAATGCTCCAGCCGAGCTCGCTTTTTTCTGCAACATGTGAAGTGGCAGTGTTCAATCTTGCCTGAGTGTTGGGCATCCACTGTGTTCAGTTTTGGTTGGATTTTGGTAAACGAAGCTGAAGGCTATCGTGGTGGTGATTTTCTATTTTTCCTCGTGTGCTGCGCCATCATATGCGGGCGTTCCTGAATCAGGAGAGGGTGCAGCTGCATAGAGTCCCTACTCATGACACACCATGTTCCTCTATATATCATGTACAATGTGCCTAGAATTGGACTTGAGGAACTAGTTTGGCTCATGGATTGATGAAGTGTACCTTCAAGAATTCAATTGGCAAGCGCAACCATAGTGTCACAGAACCGATCAGTAACGACAAGATTACAGCAAGAAAGGACAGGCCAAAAGACAAATTCCAAAAATCCCTAGCTGCAGCTTCTCTTCGATTTTCACGTATGGGTCAAAACATACTGCTGATACAGTATCATGATATCATCTAATATGAGTTGTATTTCTGGATGAACATCGACAAACACCTATAAGTATTTTGATGATTTTTGATGTTAATCCCAGGGCCATGGCACTGTCAGCTTGAGGAGCTGCATAAGCCACATCCCGTTGCCCGCGGGGGGGTGCCAGCGCCCCCAGCGTACGCCTCACGAGGTCTGGTTGGGGTGAGTTTTTTTCACAGAGATGAAGAAAGTTATGGCAAGCATGTGCGGCACGTCTAAGTGTGCAAAGGACTTGGATTTTTCCATATTTTTCCATCAATTGCCATAATTTCCATAGTCTTCATTCTTAACAGGTTTCAGATCATGATTTCTTAGGAAATCGACAGCTCCTTGATTGTTTGAAGCGACAAACACGAGCTCGGGATGTCTTGAGCACCTTCTCTTACCCGGATAACCCGAATCTGAGATCATCACCATTCATACAACGGTCTTGGTCAATCTGGAAAAGTTGACTTCACAACTTAACAATGAACACTGGTGACACCGTGACACCACTCAATATTTGATGCTTTGGGCAAATAGCTGGACTGGTTGGCTCTACCCTACATCTTCTTCTTGTATCTTCTTGTCATTGTTGTATTTAATGATTTACAGCAATCACATGCAATCACCATATCACAGCATGAAAGCTTCAGATCACAGAGCAAGGCAGCACCAGCGCCAAGCAATGCTTTGGCATGGCAGTTGCAGGTTGGAGTCGGACGTTACTGGTACACCTTAAAATTTTGCACAGAGCAAAGACGTCTCTGAGTACTGGACCTGATCAATTGAAACCACTCATGGCTTGGTGGTGCCACATTGCTTAATCCAGCAACCTGCATTGATCTTCTTCGCATGGTTTAATCATGTTGAATCGCCACTCACTTTCACTCTGCTGGTATGCCAAACCGTTGACCTTCCTCAGTCATTTTGGGTCATTTTGGGTCAAACTGCCATCATGCACGGCCAGTGAGTCCAGAGATGCCCAGAGTTAAAAATAAGAAATGAAACTATCAGACAAAGTCCTGTGGAAGTAAGGCAAGCCCACCAGAATTATCCAGAATTTGTAGCGCATCCCGCATCCCATAACATTGATGTCAAGCAGTCAAGCTATATTTCAACATATTTCCATTATTCAGCACTTCAGCAATGGCTCCTCGTCCAGAAACCTTGACGTGCTGCCTGAGCCAAGCTGGCATTGCCTCTGCACCTTTGAAAGCGAATGAAGTGGAGCGAGTTAAATCCGAACTTCGGCAGCGCGCAAAGGCTTCAAGCAGAGCGGCAGACAGTGTAAGTGTTGATGAAGTGCTGCATGTGCTGCGCCCATTGGTCGAATTGCTGAAACAAACGGCTCCAGATTTCACTTCAGCACAGGTTTCTTCCAGGCAAAGTTTCTGGCGCAATGCCGCAGAGGTCACCCTGGGACGTGCTGAGGGAGCTGCAATTTTCAAGCGTTTATTAAAGGATCCCGGTGTCATCGCAGCGGTCGCTTGGCACCTGTTGCCATGTCTAGTTTTAGAGTCTGGTCTTGAGACTCCTCTTGTTTTCTTCTTGACTGACACACACGCACACACACAGGACGCCAAAGCAGCTTTTTGCAATGGAGGGATGTGTTGTAAGGAACTGTGTGTTGGGATGCTTCCAGGATTCCAGAACACATCATGTATAGTTAATTTGTATAATTACTATTGATTACTCATTGGGACACTCGCGAACAAAAAGGTTGATGAACGGCTTTGCCTGGAGCTAGCGCCAGCTGCCGGTGAAGGAGCAAAACGGCGCAAGGTTGCAGAAGCGACGCCGGCACCAGAGGCAGCTTCTTCGACCCACAAGGGAATCATGCAACGACATGCAACCCAGATGGAGGCCCTGCGACGACAATGTGATCAAGATGAAAAAATGCTCCTGGAAAAGCACCAAAAGGCGACCCGTGCCAAAAGCTGGGCCGAGTGGCAGACTCTGCTTCCAACCTTTCGACTTTAGACTCTTTAGACCAAACAAGGGTGCTCTAAAGGGGAAATGTGTTTGTCTGCATTCATAATTACTCATAGGATCTCGTAGGACTTTTTCTGTTTGGAAGCGTTTTTACAAATCGTGATGGCACGCTGGCCAGCTGCAATGGCCCGCGTTGCTTCTTGGTCGTGTTTTTGTTCGGATGTCACAAGCACAGGGCTGTTGATTGCTCCAGGCCTTCGAAATGAGGAGGTTATCGTACATTGAGATGATGGACACGGCTTTGGGGAATCTCAAACTGGACCAGGAGAAACAAATGCGTTGGCTCAAAGAGACCTGGCATAACAGTACAGATTCGTTTGAACTCACTTTGCACGACATGTTTGATTTGGTTTGCAGGCATGGAATGGCCGTCCTCTAGGGAGCACTGAGACAGTGGTAGCGTTTTCCACGAAAAACAGTGTATGAATTATGAATGTCAAAGCATTTGCTTGTATCAAACTCAACAGCAAATGTAGGAACTTAAACTACAAGACTCTGGAGGAATGAATCTCACATACTCACATGCTAAAGGACGCTTTCTTAGCGAGTGTTTCTGCTTACAGTGCACTAGTCACCCAAACTCTAGCATCATCAATGTCATTGTATTGTGTACCCAGTTTGCTATTTCAGCCGTGATTCTTTAGTGGGGGTCAGTGAGGATCATTCACGAGCGAGAACGGAAGCTTTGCGATCAAAACAGCTTGGCGACTTTTTCTCCCCGGTCCTTCATGTCACTTTGGGTCGGGGGAATGTCCATGTCTGTCAGGGCTTCTACGAGTTGAGTCCCATCCATACCCGCGGCTGGCAGCCAGTGTACCGTAAATACAAATCAAGATATTTCCTCTATCTGTCGAAGCAATGTTGGTGGATCAGCACTGAGTCGAACATGCTGATGCGACAGCCACGAGGTTTGTTGCATAGTGGAGCTGTCCGTTTGAATGATTCACCTGCTCGACCTGAAAGAGCGACAAATTGGAAAGTTGTTGGTTCAGGAAAGAAGTGGGAATCAATAGATTTGAAGCTTGATGATTTGAAGGAGCCAAAAGCTGAGTTTGTAGTGGTCTCAATGGCAGGCACTGAATTGCTGCGAAAGTCTTTTCAACTTCATGAGACAGTTGTCACCGTGAAGACAACACTCAGCAGGACTTTGAAGTCAAGTTGGAACAGACCAGCTGATTTTATCCGACTTTGTTTGGGATCGCAAGCTCTCAGCAATGCAAAAGAGCTGGGTCGTCTTACAATTGGAGCTGGGACTCCCCTTCAGGCTGTTCTGATACCCATAAATTGCAAGCACTGCATGGTCTCACTGGAGAAGCAATGGTATCCATGCTGTCGTTGCTCAAATTGTCACCAATACCTATGCTTGGAGTGTGGGGCGAGATGTAGGGAATGTGACTACTGCGTCTTGGTTTGATTTCAGGAGTTTGTTGCAGTTTTTCTTAAACACATTCGATTTGTGATTCTCTTGACCAATACACAAGGACTATGTAGTATAAGCAGGTAAACGGGACATAGCCATGTCACGCCCAACTTCCTCTGGTTTTTTGGGGTCCTTGCGAAAGGCTGACACAAACAATACCGCCATAGAGAATCGGACTTGCTGTGAGTTGCTTTTGTTTTATTTCATCTTCTCCCTTATTGTGGTGATCCTGGATGATCTTGCACATCTTTGATTTCGCTGATGTGTTCCAGTGGTCACTTCAGAGGTGTCCAGGTATTTTGGGTCTTTTGGTTCCCCCCATTCCATCCCATTCCACCAAGACTGGCCAAAGTTGGCTCATAGATTTCACTGAGGCATGGCCAATATTTGCAATGAATGTGCCATGGATTGCGACCATTTGTGCTGCAGATGTTGTGCTGAAGAGTCCGAATATTCGGAAGAGGACGATGGGGAGTTCTACTACTAGCCACTACTAGCCACTAGCACACAGCATGCCTGGCATTCCCTGGGCATTTCTGAATTTGCTGTGTTTGTCAGACTTGTAGCAATCCCAGCTAGATGGTTGCCGTAACAGGTAGACGTGCGACCCCATCTCTGGCAGTAACTCATTTGTCAACTGAGTCGTTCTCATGGTTTCATTATGAGAACCAGCCAGAAGGATGTACAGCAAAAATCAGCAAAACCCAGCTGATCTCCGTGAGAGGCGCAGAGACAAAAGGTCCCAGACATTTTGGTTTTAGATGGTTTTAGCATGTTTTAGCATCTTTAGCAAAATCAGCCAACACCAACTGTTTTTAGGTCGCCCCATGTCGCCCCCCTCTCATAGTGTCGCAGGATGCGACCGAACGCGCAGCTGGGGCTTCAACCCTCCAAGGCCCCAAAATCACCTTGAGAGTCACGGAGTCATGGAGTCATGTCATACTACTGTATAGAAGTAATTTGATTTAATATTATATATATATATATTATAAATATATTTTATATATTATAAATATATTATATATTATAAATATTATATATATATATTCACAATTTCTTTATGTTATGTTAGATTTGGATCTGCCAATCCGTTGCCACATTATCCACATCGCCACATCAGTCACATCAGGCTTCGGAATCTGCTGGAATCTCCGGCTTCTCAGTGCTAGACCCAACACGAAAGGACCTTGAGCGGATCACTACTTCTTCAAGCATGAGCCCACCTCCGGCCCAATTGATAAGACCTCATCTTGGTGGGTACAGTAATAATGCGATACAATGTGACACCATGTGGCAAGGCCTTTATTTTTGCCTTTATGAGCTTTGACCAGTTTCAAGGATGGCAAACGTGGACGGAGATGTCATCGAATCCTAAAGGCCACAACTCAACATCTGCTGTTTGTCGTCGTCTCACAGATTTATACAGAGTTCCTTTTGGCTCAGACACTCATACGTATAGTAAACGCCAGCTGGAGCAAGAGTTACAAGTCATTGCGCACACCAAACGCTGCCTTCTTTTCTAAGTTATATGGCAACCCACATAATACAATCTCATACCATGAGCAAGTGTCGAACATGTAGAATTGGCCAATCGTTCATTTAAGAAAATCTATGCGGCACAAAAAAGGTTTTGACATGTTTTGATGCTTTACCTCAAATACTGCACAAGGTTGATACCTTTGCAAAACTTCCCTTGTGCAGTAACTGATGGCTGAAGAAGGCAGAGCCTTGCTGCGGAATTTTCGCTTGCGACAGCAATTGAAACTGCTTCCAAGGAGCCAACCCATCGGCATTGGCACCGCTGGCACTGCTGGCACCGTGTCGTTGAAACGTCTTGAGGAGCTCCTCAGTCACCGAGCCTTCGGCTACGAGAGCGAAAGCTTCGAAAGCTTCGAAGCTGCAAACGTTACGTTGAACGATGCCCGGAAGACCACACTGCAAGGGCAGCTGCAGGATCTGAATGCCACGAAAGAGGCGGAAATGCTGCAGTTTCAAGAGGTAGAGATGGCAGCTCAGTCCTTGCAGCAAGAGATGGCCAAAATGGTGGATGAACATGAAGCCTTGACTCGGCAGCGATATGAACTCTGGGCACGACAAAAGGAGTTGGCAGATGAAACTCTCAGGTTGCAGGCAGTACTGGCTGACCTGGACAGCGATGCACAGGTGAAAAATGATCAGCCTGAAAGCGAGGGGAACAGGAGCCTAGCGAAAACTGCTGAGCGACTGAAGCTCCATCATCTTCATTTGCAGCGCCTTTTGGAAGAGCAGAAACTTTTGCAGCAGCAGTTGGGATCTGCTGAGCACATGGCCCTGCAAAGATAAAGATTGAGCAACTTGTTTGTTGCAAAGATTTCACGGGTCACTTAATTCACTGTGCATAAATGTGCATAATAACACTGGCTGGAGAAAGAAAAGAAACTCAGATATGATGGTGATTTCTGACTTCTGCTCCGTCTGCGTCTCCTTTTTCAAGTCTTCAGAGACAACTGCCCTGTCACATCCTGGCGGCCTTGACACGCTTTAATCGACCTGAACAAGTGCCGGCGATTTGAACAGCGGTGCCCTGCAACCAAAAATGTTGAGACAAGACTGCCAAAGTGCACACGAGTTGCCTCTCAGGTGGTTTATACACTGAAGTCACATTACCTATTCAACCAGAGGCAAATTTACAAATTATGCTGAATGCAAGAAGTTAATTCGGTTCCATCCTGACTCCCTTTGGGACTGCGAAAGATCATGAAAGATCACTTTTCCATTTGGTTGAAATTTACACTCGCAACGACGGTTGAATGTTAGGGAAGATTACAATCAGATTAGAAGCATTCTGCAGCAGACAGTTGGAGTTTTCCAGTGAGAGCGAGAGAGAGGGAAGGTGCTTCCTTGTCGTCAAAACAAAGCACTCCATTTCATGTTGGTTGATATCATACCGATAAATAAGTGTTAATAAGTTAACGATAAGTCAGATGATCGGAAGAGCCATTTAGATCCATTTGGCCATTTGGTTTCTTTTCTGGTGACCTGGTGAGGACGTGGCTGTCACCAAGCTTTGGGACACGTGGGAGATCGTGGGAGGAAGAGGAGAGACTCCGGAGCTGCTGTTTGTATTTTGCCTTAGCATGTCTTGGCATGTCTTAGCAACATGCTCACTGCATCTCACAGCCAGAATCATGATGCAGCTTCCTCGGTGAATTTTGCCTGTCCCAGTGGCCAGCTGGAGCGGATTGCTGGAGCAGATACCGCATGCAAAGTGCAGTGCAGAGGAGTACAGGTACTTGCAAACCAACGCAGCTGAACAGGCTCTGGCCAGAGCTATGCAAGCAATTCATGCTTAGCTGGTACTCCAAATCTGAGTGAAACAGATGGGCAGGAAACCTCAATGGAATCATATCAATTGTATTGAAATCTCAGAGGACTGTAGATCTCATCTGCCACCAAGCACCCTATGACATCCACCATGTGTTTCCAGGCTCAGCTGGTTGGGAATGCAGGCAAGTAAGAAATAAGAGGTTTGGAACAGAGATGTCATCGACAATCCATTTGTGAATTCGCAGGGGAGGAGCAGTCCGGTCATCAAAAAGCTGAGGAGGAGCGCTTATTTCTGGGGAAATGCTTGGGTTGGTCAGGTTTATGAGAAAAGGGTGTTGAATCCTGCGGCTTTTGGAGTTAAGGCCAGTGGCAACAGCCTTGGAAGATGGCGACTGGAAAAGCTTCAAAGGCTAGACAGAATGACCTCATTAGGATCTTCTGTAAGACATGTTTGTTTGTGAGTTTGAAACATTTTGAAACTAATGGATGCTGCAAGCACGGCTCAAGCGCTTGAGCGTGCACGAAAGAGGGCATGTATAGTGCAAAAGGATGCAAAAGGTGTGTCAAGTAGCGTATCAGATTCTTATCAAGCTCATTCAGGGGCCATAGGCCATAGGCAAGAATGCAGCTAGGTTTGTGTGAATCAAACTCCGTACAGTGATTTTTGCGTCATTGCAGTGAAACTGAGAGTGTCAGTAGAATAGTAGAAACATGTAGAAACATGTACATAGAAACTAGAAACATTGAAGATCATTGAAGACCTGAGAGAACGTCAGCTGCGGGATGCGCTTGGACCAGAGCGCGAGTCATAGCTATGAAGCATGACCAGCTTCCGGCGCAGTGCGTTTGTAGATTTCCTATTGCTGGAGCCTGATCCAGGGCCAGATGTATGGGACGGGCTTCAACCCTCGAGCTCCAAATCTCAGTTCTGGAAGGCCAACACTTCCTTCACGCAGAATGCCCAAAGTGGCTTTGACAGTTTCCTAGACACTAAAGGATATGTTGGTCATGAGATCCAGGCGCCAAGTATGGTCAGTGCCCTTTTGTTTGGCACAGGCTTAGCTGCTGTGGGTGCAGGTGCATATTTCTTCACCAGGCCGCCGCCGGCCGAAGCAACGGGTGCAACGGGTGCAACGGGTGCAACGGGTGCAACGGGCGCCCAAGCTGAAGCAGCAGCTGCAGCTGCAGCTGATCCACCAGCCGCCATCTCTGCAGAGACCTCCGAACGATTGGAGCGACGGGCGCAGCTGTTGAGTGAGCTGGAAAGTTTGGAGCCAGGCGACAGACGCGAGGAATTACTGCAACAGATCCAACAGCTGGACCAAGAACTTGAGGCATCAAATCCTGACATCTTGGCTGGCAGGACCTTGCGACAGTTTCTGGCGGCAGATGCCGCGCAAAGAGCGAATGCTGGCACGGAGTCATTCCTGCAACTGCTTTACAATCGAATTGCACCTGCCTTTACCCGGATGGAGCAGATGAAGCGTGTGTTGGAAGTCCGTGTGCAGAATGTAAGCACCCGCGTTCCACAGATTATCAGTGAAGAGGTAGAAGCTGCAACAGAGGAAACCAGGAATCTTCTGCAGATACCCTTGCCAGATGCACGGTTGAACATCTCAGAGCACTTGCCATCCCTTACTATGCTTCTAGCAGGGTTGATGGCACCTTTACAACTGAAGGTGATGTATGCCGACAATCTCGCCCGCTTGGGAATCAGCGGCGCGATCCTCTCCATGGATGTCATTGCACTTCTCACTGCCCACGGGACCAGGCACGGCAGCATGCAATAGCTACTGCTGTTGCAGCTGAGTTCACCCAAGGCTTGTTGACCTCAAAGGTTGAAAATACATGCAAAATATATCAAAATATATCAACATATGCAAATACATCGGATCAAGTTGAATCTTTGTTAGATCAGAGATGATGATTCGAGCATGGCTCGCCATGAAACCCTCCAAACCTTAGCGTCCTTATCCTGGTTGTGCCATGTGCCATGTGCCTGGACATGCCTGGACAGGTGCATCAGCCAGCAGCTCCCTTTGCTTGGCACCTTGGATGCCTTGCACGTGTGGATTGGGGTGGATGCCATCAGTTTGGGCTTCGCCTGCGCCGTGAGTGCCATGGTCTTGCAGAAATGTGGCCAAACTATTGCGGAGGTGCCCGGCAGAAATGCAGATAAGGTGCTGACAACGGTGTATTTGAACTTCGAACTATTCCGTTTGTTTGCTTAAATCACTGGCTACCGGTTGAAACACATTCGTTAAACGAGACGACTAGGCACCAACCGAATACGTGTCACGCTTTACTATGTTAGGCCCTGTTAGGCACCAAGCTTCCATGCAGGTCGATGCTTCTAGGGAATTGCCCGAAGCCAATCCATCATCGGATCCAGAGGACGTGGGAATTTGGTGGCAACGTTTCTCTTAGGGCTATTTTTTTGGGGATCGCTTAGGACATCTTAGGACCGTTTTTGCTGCAGAGCTTCGATAACTTTAATATATCGAATTGTTCAGATTCGGCCCACATGCCCCCTGGTCCCCATTTGCCACCATCCGAATCATAACCCGATATCGATCCTAAAGATATCACTTGAGAAGCCCGAATGTCCCGATGCCCTCAGGTCATCTCAGGTCTCTCCCACCCTAAGCCAAAAGGTGTGAACCATGCATATGTGCCATGGTTGAAACATGTTGAAACATGTTGATTTACAAGGAATCCCCAATACCGGTGAGATCCGGTGAGATGGAAATGATCTTTTTGTGGTGATCCTGGAGCCCTGTGGGAGAAGAGAATTGTGTCTTAATTCTATTGATACTTTTTGGAAATTTGTGGAAGCTGGAAATACTTTTCCCGCGCTTCGCGCTTTCCTCATTGTCTTCAGCTCCTACCCTGGACCTTCATCGCAGAGGAAGCCTTTCGTGCAGCGCTAGAGAAGCAGCTGCTAGCAGGATCGAAAGCTATCATTATGCGACACAGCTGAATACAGCTGAACGGTGATGAAGACACTGCAGAACAGTTCTGAACACACAAACTCCGATAATCGCTTTCATTATGCTTTCTTTTCAGGTTCTTGTTTGTAATATGTTTGTAATGCCAGGAACATGTGTTTGTTTTTCGGCATTTCGCTTTTCAATTTGTTGAGTTTGTTCGAGACTTCTAACCATAAGTGTCAGTGCCAGGGAATTGTTGAGGACAGTTGCAGGGACCCAGCCATGATTTTAAGCCCAAGCGTTTTAAATGCGTTGATTCTTTAGATCTTTTACAGAAATTGTATCCAAAGAACTGATCACTAGGTGTTTCCTTGTTCATCTTTGTTCATCTTTGTTCATCTTTGTTCATCCCTTTCACGAGGTATGACTCATTGTCTGGAAGCACTGTCTTGAGGCCATCTCTGAAGCTTCACAGCCACATTTTTCCCCAGTTTGACTCAGTTGTGTTTGGCCAATTTTGTGGCGGCATGAGAACCACTTTGAAGAGTTGGCCTTTTTGAAGTGTTGCTGTGGTATCAATTTGGGTTGTTGGTGTGTCAAATTTGGAATCCCCAACTTTGATCGTTCTCATCACTTTCCCTGTTGGAAAGACTGTTTGTGGGTATGCCCATTTTGAGACAAGCACAATATATCACCTCAACAGCCAGGCTCTTGCCAGTGCTGTCCCTCTTTGACTTTGTGTGGCAGGTGACCGAAACACGGGATGCCAAGGGTGGGTTTTGGTTGTAAGCAATAGTAAAGCAGCTTACACTGCACCCTTTAGAGGAATAGATACTCAATTCTAAGAGCTGGTGGAGCAATTGTGCTTTCACCACACGTAAGCATACTATATTTTAATATATCATAATAATTATAATTATTATGTTTTTTTTGAAGAAAGGGTTCCCTTAGTCTGTCTCAACCTACTTCTGGAGCGAGGCCAATGGCTTGATGCTGCTGTTTGACACACCGGGATCCAGTTGTGGAGCGCATTTCCTTCTCGATTGGTCTCGAGGCTGGTTGGAAGTTGTTGGAAGTTGTTGGAAGTTGTTGGAAGATGTTGGAAGATGTTTGCCCACATTTTCCATGCATTTTCCATGATGGTTAAGGCGGTTAAGGAGGCCTGTTGCCATCACTGTATGCTGTACATACATTCCAAAAGAGATACTGTACATTTTGGTGATGAAATCCAGACTTTGAGCAAGCCATTCCCATCCATTCCTCACAGAAAACGGAGAGGTCGTGGCGTGATCTTCCTGATTGGTTTGGTCCCAATGCTCGCCACCGTGGGCCTGGCTGCTGTCGCTTGGCCACCAGCTGTGTAGCGCGCTTTGATTTTTTTGATCTACAATGAACCTATAGCTGCTATAGCTATTAAAGCTGTAGCTACTGTAACTACTATATATCTATATACTATATAGTATATATAGCTTCCTTGATCTTCTTTGTGAGAATTGCCCCTTATGTTCCACAAATTCAACAGAGGTACGTGTGGCTGTGTCGAGCTCAAGCTTTGGACAATCGCTCTTGGAAGCTGCCGCCAATCTTGACGAGGTTGCAGCGCCAGTCGCTAGGGGCCAGGCAGTAAAGGCTACCCATGTCCCCATATGTCCCCTGCCATTTCAAGATTTGCCACAGATGTCACTTCCCATGTATTCCATTGTATTCCTGTCTTTGGAGAATTTTGGAGAATTTTGGAGAATTTTGGAGAATGATGAGAATGATGAGTTTCTGTATGTTTCTGTCAGGCTTCTTTTCCTCATGGCCCACCAGTCTTTACCATTCTGGTGCGCTCCTTCGTCGTCCGGGACGTGACTGACATGGCAAAGATCCGATTGCAAGTGGCGAAAGCTGTGCGAATCCCAGACTCGGAGCGATTTGCCGCAAGCGTTTGGCACAGTGATGCGTTGAAATGCTGTTGAAATGCTGGTTGAAATGCTGTTTGCCCATGTTTGCCCCTGGTCCTGGAGTCCTAGACATCTGTTGTGGAACCCAAGGAGGAGACAAAGCTGACCTCAGCACGAGACAATATCCAAGCAGAGAAGGACAGTGCATGCCCAGCGTTACTATTGCTAATTACTAGTAAGCATTCCTAAGCTGCTAAGCTATTTTCTTCTCCATTCCTTGCCGGATGTTTCATTCCTGTTCAAGTAGTCACAGCTTCCGCATTGCTCCTTAACCTCTTTAAGATATTCCATATAAGGTCTTGGATGATCTTGGAGTGTACTCAATCCGATCAGACTCAACCAGCGAGGCTTAGGTTTTTGATGGTTTTTGTTTGATGAGGTCTCACATGAAGATGGATGAAGATGAGCCGTTCTTGTTCGCCTTCCCACTGCAGGACGCTGTGGAAGCCAAACTCGCTGCGAAGGAGGCAGAGCTGCAAACCACCAGCGAACAAATTCGTGTCCAACAGGAGGCGCTTCAAATGATTGGAGAGTGTGGGACAAGCTATGAAGATCTATGAAGTAAAGTCATGCAAAGAAGCAACCTCTAGATTCGCAATCTCTCAAGAGTTGTCTTTGCCACATTTTGCCACACCTTGAATCCCTGCTTGATTGTTTGTGCATATCTTTACAATCATTCGCTACAATGTACTGTAATCTAGGTGTAGGGTCAGTTGTGAATCTTTGCTTCTTGATGCTTTTTGTATGGCTTGAGGCCCTTGCGCAAGACCCAAGGGAGGCAGAATTCGTCCGACAGTACCGAGAGGCAGTGGCTCAGGTGGGCCTGCCATTGGCGTTGGAGGATCACGGGGGATGGGGGAATGGTAGGGACAACATATCGTATCCGATCATATCCAAAGGCGTAACCCTAAGGGAACAGTTTGCCATCCGGCACCTCGGATCCAAAAACTAGAAATTATCGTTCTGATACTGCCGAGCCGACTGACAGGCGATTGCAGATAGTCGCCAAGAGAAATCCGCGTCTACCGAGTCATGTCATCGTCGTCGTCGTCGTTGTCGCCGTCGTCGTCGCCGCCATCATCATCATCATCATCATCATCATCATCCTCCTAATATCGTGATGCTTTGCCAGAAGACATGACACTGCCCTCCAAACCAGGCGATGGCCTTACAGTCTGGGAGTTTGGATGCGGTGGTCTCCAGTGCGCTCGCGGCAGTGGAGCTGCCAGTGCAAGCCCCGGCTTCCAGTGGATGTTTGCCTGACTGGCTTTATCTGGCTGTACTGGCTATAGCTATGTTCGTTTCAATGACCAGTAATATCTAATACTAGTACTCGTAGCTGATAAGTCAAAGGGGTAAGGTCTTTTCACGGCAGGGACACCCAATTCTTCAAATAAACGAGATACTGCTTGCAGTTGCGATGATGCAGGAAACCTCGGTGCCTCCAGAAATGGCCGGATTGGGCTTCGATCCTTGGAAGCAATTGAGAACCTGTGAATAACGTGACAAACATGGATGAAACATGATGAAACAGTGAATATCTGTGAGTCAAGAGGAATCTGTGAATCTTCCAGATCTTTCAGGGCCTCCACTCCAACGACTCCAAGGCATCTTCAGAAGCTGCAGCCTCTGATGGCGATCAGGGCGGTACTGGTGGAGCAGCTTCTTGAGCGACAGCAGAGTGCCCGTGGTTGCCATTAGATCATTAGATGCGTTGAATTGCCAGCAATTTGAAAGTTGTTTATGGCCGTTATGACCAAGTTGTGGATTGAATTGATATATTGACATATATTGAATCTGATTGGACCGCTGTTTTCTTTGACGGTCTTGATATATTATGTTTCGTTGATGTGTCAAGACTTGGTCCACCATGATTTAGTTAGATCAGTTTTTTCCTAGATTCCATACGCTTCCATACACAGTACCTCCGGTACAATTAAGGCCTGCTATCCCTGGCCATGCTGCAGCCACTGCTGCTGTCGGTCATAGATTCACGAATCCACCAACACTGGCCAGAAAAGGGGCTGCCAGATGCTGCCAGTCAGGATGCCAGAGGTGTTGTGTCACCCGCTGGAAGAGGCTGAGATAGACTGAGAGACTGACATGGTGCCAGGAGTGGAAGTTCCTGGAAGATCAAAGTGCAGAAAGTGCAGAGCACCAGGACGCAGTTTATCCATGTTTATCCCTTGCCTCTTGAAAACTCAGTAGTTGGTAAACTATTCAAAATACATGACTTGTTCCTTGCTCCTTCCTTGCCCTCACATGGCATTCGCATGGAAGCAGCGTTCTGGTTGAAATATCTGAAGCATAAATATGGGCCCCATGAGCAGTCTAACAATGCAGGTCAATGCAGGTCTTTCACGAAACTGACGATGTTTTGATATGTTTTACTCACATCCCACACTGAAAAGGAAGAAGCAGTGGATGAAGCTCCAAGTGTTCGCAGG